GCAAGGCAGCGGTGTTTGGCGGGAAATGCGAATGCAAATCCATTTCTACGGAACAAGTCGCCACATGTTCCAACCCCCAACCTGGAGGGCCAGGAGACTGTGTTCGTCAGACCTCTAACCATTGACCAACCTGGTATGAGAGACTCTGTGAGTGCCGCGGGACACTCTCCAGTATAGCTCAATGGATCGCTGAGGTGCGCAAACCGTCACACCACGGTAAGGTCCAGTCTCTTCGTGACGGCTGTTCCAGATTCGGTCACAGGGTGAATATGCGATCCATGCGTCTTTTTTACGAAACAGCTCAGTTTCGTTTTCACGGGCTTGGGCAACCTGCCAGTACCGCAGCCCTTGTGCTCACTTCGGGTGGCATGGGAGCTAACCACCGGAAAGGCGTTACAGCTGAACGGTTTTTTATTTTGATTTTCACTGATCTTCCTTGTGTGTGTTTTGTTAACTTTCGAAGCATGGGACTAGACATCGTTCTGGATGCCACAGCTACCAGGCCGATGTCACGTCGTTCTTCAAGTACACTTCCTGAAGATAGAAATGACTTGATGTCCCCCATTCTATGAATGCTTCGCTCCATGTGTGGGGGGTTGTGGGGTTCGTCGCACCTTGTTTATTGTGTCTGCTTACGCCCCAACTGACTAGCTCTGAATCTGCCAAGGACAGTTTCTATGACGCTCCAGGTGCCCTTCTACAGCAGGCTAAAAGCTCAGATATCGTTGTGGTTGCTGGTGATATGAATGCCCAGGTTGGCAGACTAAGCGCTGCTGAGGCCCGATTGGGTGATCGTCTTGGTTTGGACACGAGACGCACGGACAACGGAGTCCGCTTACTTCCGATATGTGTCGGTCACAGACTGTTTCTCTGCAGCACGAATTTCAGGAACAGCGGAAATCGCTTGGCAACGTAGTGCCCACCAACAAACCAGTGCCGAATCCAAAGAAGACCACATCGCCGTCAATTATCGGTGGCCAGGGTCGATTACCACCTGCCGCTCCTTCTGAAACACCAGCGTTAACTCCGGCCATGTACTTCTACGCTACTGCTTTTCATTGCGCTTTTCGGGTGTACGCAAAATGCGCTAATTCGCATCACCTGTGGCGTCAAAAGCTCACCTCATTAAATCTTAAGGGTCGTGTGTACCACACTACAGTAAGGGCAGTGTTGTTGTATGGGTGCAAGACACAGCCTCTGCGGACGGGTGATGTGAGGCGTATCCAGGTTTTTAACCACCGATGTCTCAGAAACCTGACCGGTTTTGGATGGCGTCCATGTGAAAGTATTGTGCTGATTAAAAAGCCGGTGTTGGGTTGTGCGGCAGGTGCTTCAATCGGAAAAAACATCCAGCACCACTGACTCCGATGACTCAGTGATGCGCTATGCATGCCGAAACACCGTCTACCGAGACGAGTGCTATTTTCCATGCCTCTTTCAGAATGGCGCAAGCCGCGAGGTGGACAACTGATGACTTAGTAGAAGGGCCTGAAAGAGACCAAGAGGACTTTGGGTTTTGTTGGTGGTGTATGACTTCCAGGATGTGGTCTCCGTGCTTACTTGGAGACGTTGCAAGAAATAGCGGCTAATCGATGTCAGTGGCGTTCGTGCTGTCAGTTCCCTTCCAGATTGATTGGTTGCTTGGAGGTGTACGCACTTCAGAATGCTTGACATAGACCAGCACTAGGTCCCCTCGCTCACCCACTCTTTTCCTCTTCTTCCTACTCTGGGGCTTTAAGTATAATTAGACTAACCCTATGGTTGCACGGCAGTGAAGCATCAGTGTCAACACTGATGGTGATCCACGTGCTTGTTACCAGAATTGTTAACCTGATGCTGAGAGTAGCTGAGCTAGGTCAGGTTCGTTTCCCTGAACTGTGGTAGTTCCCTGAGAAGCATGGATTGATACACCACCTTGCGAGAGCCCGAAGGAAGGCAAAGTGCCAGGCGAGTTCGCACTCTGGTTTGATCAGAATCAAGTTTTCTTTCTTAGAAAAAGCGACAGTCGTGAATTTCGGCCCGGCGATTGATAGCCACGTGATTCAACTGACTTTATGTTAGCCATCGTCGATAATCCATGGTGGCCAGAAATAGTCGATGGTCAGCGCACAACCGGAGGAGTCAGTCTTCGTTGTATATGCAGCTAATTCTGACCCGTAATCGAATACCAAGACTTTATTTCATGCATTTCTTTTGTTTATAAGGATGACATTGTCGGTGCTTTTTGTTCAGTGAATTAGCACAGATAAGTTTCGATAGAAAATATCTTTCTGAGCACCAAAACTGTTGTCCTTTGGGGCACCAGTTTTTATGCCGAGTAACATTAGGTTAGAATCCAATGTAAAAAAGCGCGTTCGGATCTAAGACCGAATGCAACGCCCACACCATATTGTCCGCGCATCATTTCACCTGGATCACACACACACGAGAGTGGTCCTATTCTTGGTGACGCCGTGCACAGCAGATGCCTGCGGAGCCTTCACATCCACATAGCCGGCGACAGTGCAACGTTATCCCAAGACCGCCTCGTAAATTGGTTACTCGTAGTACAGGTCTAACTGCTCTAGGTCTACCCGCTCCCCTTTAACCTTCCTGGTATGGTTGAACCTTGAGGAGCTATGTTGCAACATTAATAGCCCGCAGGATGTTTGCAACATGTAAGTCCGTTAGCACATCAAGGTGACAGCTTCATGTCGAGTATCCCGCCTCACGACGCTTTGGCTTCGGACAGCTCTTCTGGCTCTGGATGTCCATGTAAATGAGCTGTTGTATCCTGGCTGTTTGATTATCGATCACGCAGTTGGAAAAGCGAACTACTACGGTGAATATTTTCTGATACTGGAGACGAGATGTCCGAAGTGGTTAGAGCAGGAATTTTCTGACCAGAAGGTCCGTGGTTCGAACCCGGCTTCTGCCTTCCGACTTCTCCTGTCTAGGCTTGGACAACCTGGCAGTATCCCAACCTTGGGGTGGCATGGCAGTTAGGCACCGAAAGAGTGCTAAAGCTGGACGATCTTTTCTGATAATGATGAATAACGTAATATCACGAAAGTGCAAACCCGGCCAACAAAAACACAGTGACAACTGAACATCAGTGGCTGTAGTGGTGAGTGAGTGTGCATCTCCTGATGCCTTCTGTTTACTTCGCGATCATGGCTCCAGCTTCGAGTCAACATTGCATCAGTAATCAACCCATCTATGTGTGCGTTCAATGGAAGCACCTGGAACGAAAATCGTTATGGGGAATTCAGTTCTCGGCAGAATTTCAAAATCATTTGACAAAACATCGAGTGGATGTACACCGCTCTGGATAACAAAACGCGCAGCTGATTTTCCTGGCAGACTTTCGTATGTCATATCCAGTGTTCCGTTTCTTGTGACACCTCTGGCGATAGTAACCGGCGCGAATTCGGGCACATACAGCACGATTGATAGCACTGTTATCAGGAAGGTCAGATTCCTGAAATCAACTTCTGAACGCCCGGAACCTACTGCTCCACCAAAAGCTCAACTGGAAAGCCGGCAAGCATCCAGGCCAGTCAATCATTCGATCAATTCAGTAAACCCTGATGAGTGTTCTCTGCGCCACAGAAGCACGACCGAATGTGATCAGCATTCAGGCTTTTCAGAGGCACGATCGATGTTGATGGGTGATCACTAGCGCCTATCAGACAGCCTGGATCAATGTCAGAAAGTCCCCTTTAACTAGCGTGGGGCCGTTGTAACTTTTGCACTCGCTCTCGCACGCACTCACTCGCTTGTTCGGAATACAGCTGTTGTGTTCCCTTCTGTGAGTCTTTTCTCTCCGACACTAGGCACTGGAGCGGGTCAGCAGCAGATATAACAAATTGACGAATCAGCAGATATAACAACTGTGATAACTACGATTTCTTCAATGGACATGGAAATGGATTATTTATGTTGACAGGTTGGCTGATCTCCTGATTCCTGTGTCTGCCGGGGAGCCGTTGATCGCTGCACTGAGTCTTCACCTTGAAATGTAGCTCGGCAGATATATCTCGTTAATTTCCGGCATAGTATGCTCACCTCTGACATTTACTATCTTCCTCGTGGGCGTCGAAAAGGAGTGTTTCTTCTTGCGGCCGCAAAGCACCACCTGCTTTCCGTGATGATGTATCCCTTCCAAGTTCTTGGGAGCAGCGCTTGCTAACCTCCAGCTTTTGTGGCCATAACGTGACAGCCAAGTATAGAGTGTATCAGGTGGCCATCCGATCTGTCTCACGTTCCGTATTAGAGACACGGCCGCTTGGTGCGGATATTCAAAGACTCTGTATGACCACCACTGCCTCCGACACCCTTTCGGTGTATAGCTGCTGTGCCCCCGAAGGATGCGTTGGGGGTGAGCTTTTACCAGGTTGCCCAAGCTTAGGCAGAAACAGCGGGGATGCCGGGGTTGGGTTCGAACCCCAGGCCTTCCGATCGGTAAATTCGCGCTTTATCAAATAGGCCATTTCGAGCCTCAGTAATGCTGAGGTACGCCAGAAAGTTCATTACACCTCGATAGGTCAGCATGTACTACCTATACCAGACGATCGTCTGTTTCGTTGAACCCATCTCTCCTAGCCTTGTGTCGGATGGATGTGACCCAGAGATGCTTGGTCCATGACTTCGTGACGAAGCACAAATGCCTCTACCATTCGACTCTGTCACCGTGGTAACTGTCGTCTCCCCGAATGGTGGACGGGACAAGCCAATGGCTAGTGACCTTGACAGAAATGGCTGTCACGCTGCCAGTGGCTGTCTTGGATCAAAGCTATGCCTTCACTGGGCAGCTGTCATTCCCATGTAGGACAAGCGAAACCGTTCAAATATGATCAGTGTAAGTTGGTGAAGTGAACGATACTTACTTGGGGTATCAGAATACGCCGTGAAGGGACTTCAGTTCGGAATTTCAGATGGATGGGTTTTATCGGGATCTTATACGACAGCTCGTTGTGCATGAAGAATGGATACAATCATCCTGGCGGGTGATATGAATGCCAAAGTTGGACGACTAAGCCTGGATGAAGTACAGCTATGTGGTCGATTTGGTAGTTTGGTTGTCAACCGCACTCAGCATACGGATAAGGGGTAGCGACTTCTTCAGCTGTGTGCCGATCGCCGTCTGTCCCTGGTCAGCTTGAGCTTCCAGCACAAACACCAACATTAGCTACTTGGAGGCCACCAGCCATCAGATAGTCGTAGATTGAGTCGGATCATGTGACTATCAGTTGTCCGTGGATACCTGGAGTACGAAACTTGACTCCGATCATACCGTTCTGTCGGCTCGGTCATCACTTCGCTTCCCGTCAGCATAATGTCTGCTAAAGTAGAGTAGCTCCATTCATTAACTTGGACGGGTTTCTCTAGCTCAGCCTTATACAGTTAGTCTGGCTGAGAGGCCGCTAGAAATACACCGTGTTACGTATCTGAACGTGTACAATCAACGACCATACGCGACTTGAGAACGCTCGCAGCTTTGACGCAAGGCAAACCAGTCCTAGCGCAGCAAGACGAAGAAACGGACCTTCGAAGGGGAGCTTTTTACTGCCCCAATAAAAGCAAAGCACAAAATGCACTGGCATATAGGAAGAAATCGTTGTCCTTTCGGGAAAAGGCGCAGAATCTAAAAATTCAATTTTCAGAAAATGAAATCGTCATAACTCGAGAAGTAATGGTTTTTGAGAATATTGAAATTCTCAACACCTCCCCATTGAGGGGAAAAGTGCATCGTAGCTTTCGCATTCAAGGCGTAGCTGCCCAATTTCTGAACCAAATAATCATACCATGGCCTCCGATGTTTGTCTGTATATCCGAGACTTTCCCACTTTCCGGTGATCGAAACTGTAGCAGGTGGGACCAACGTAACCTTGACGCATCGTTTATAGCAAATGAACTTGAACTCAGCTGAACCCTCAAATCTATTGGGTTGTTTCATCTTGCCTACTTATTGCTGACATCTATGCTGTAGTTCGAATCATTCGATTCCTCACTGTGGTAAACTTCGTACCATTTCCTTAACTAAAGAACTAAAGTCCAGCTAATCTCGGGAGTATTTCCTGCTTATTTAACGTCCCGATTGTTTACGTGACAGACTTCGCCTCGGAACTTTTTTGGCCGTAGTTGCCCTAGCTTGAATAGGTTGAATCGAAACACCAAAGTTGGGCTGGTACCAGAAACCTGGCTAACAGTTTGCGATCTAATTGCTGTGATGTATCGGGAATCCACGTCTTTTGAGCATTTGATTCTGTTTAATCGCTTTTTTCGCTTGAGACTTAATCGATAGCGAGCTCTAGTCGTTAGTTGGGGAACAAAACCTGGATTTAGATTTCGCCGGTAAGACTCCTTACTAGCTAACGGCGATGGTATGTCCATGCCTAGAACGGTTGCGTGTGTCGTTCTTCCGTTCACCACTTTATTCACCATTTGTTGGTGCTTCCGACTAGGAGGTGGAGGAGACCCTACCTCCATTTCACATTGGATTATCTGCACCGAGTACTGATGTAGAATGGAAATATGGTGTCATCGCGTTATTCTGGTGTTGGTTTTTGCGGTCCCTGCACGAACAAAAGATAGTCCAGTTGAGGCGCACGTCTAACCGAGATTCGATAGGAGCATAGTAGAAGTGACTCCGTTCATGTTACAAGGACGGAGTCACTGCCTGTCTATTTCAAATCTCAGTCCATTTAACGATAAAGATTTTAGGTTGAAGCGGCCAGTTCTCACATCCGTAAGCGGGACAATTCACCATCGTTCTGAGCGAAATGTGCATTCTATGGTCCGAATGGGGCTGTATCCTCTGCACCGCATGCATCAACTTCATCCTTCACAGTTAGGTTATTTATGCGGTTACCCGTGTGCGCGAACCGCAATTTTTTAACTTATCAATTAACCATTGTACAAAATAACAGAAAGCCTTGTCGTAAGAATAAGTATTTTTAGAATGCATAGCGGAGCAAGGTACTACTTCTGACACTTTTTTATCATTGGTTGGAACGGTCGTTCCTTTTGTTTTAGTTCAAACCTCGGTACATTCATCTTGGGCTCTGGGACGACATTAATGGTAAAGTTCGATAATAATGGGGGCAACTTTAGCGAATCCTATTGGTTGTAGCAATCCTTTCACTAGTTGATATCAAGCCCAAACCCGTCTGGAAACACGTTTGCCGCATTACGAAGTACCACCGTCTTCTAACAATGCTTCGAAAATTTCATCTGCACCTCCACACATTTTGACGTTTCACGGCTAAAGGGCGTTTCGGGGGAACCATAAAACTGCTCATAGAGTCCTGACAAACCGGGTCGAACGAAAGACGAAGACAGAAAAGCAAAAAGCTTATTATCCTGACCTTGGGGAAGCTAATTTGTTTCTGGTCCGGATGCTCGTTCGTTTGGATTTCCAACATTTCGTTAGATTTCCAACATCACCTGCGATCTACTCTTTTCAGACTCTTGGGTCCTATTGCGCCGATTGAACAACTATTTTTTTATATCTCCCGCTGTACCAGTCTCATCAGAGAAAACACCAGTGTTGACATGGATGCTTCACTACAAAGTTACTGATTTACTTTGTGTACATCACTACCTTACCGAATGTGCATGATTGAACTGGAGTTTTCTACCTGGTGACATTTATGGTGTTCGATATCGCTATTTAATGTAATGATCGAAATACTGAAAGATATATTGATTAACAGGGTTCCCCTCCTGGATGATGGCGGCGATTGCAATTAACTACAGTGAGTAATTGCCAAATTGATGCGGCGGACTTCCAACAGATGAGGTGCCAACCTCGCAATTAGTTACTTAGGGTTTCGCGATAAATGCCATCGTCACCACCTCTGCGTCTCTTTAAGTGTGCATTTGCAGTCTTTCGATATTTATTTGCAACATGGTTCCAAGCTAGCAGTCGACATGTTCAAGATTCATTCCTTATTTGGTAACACAGGGCTGTCGTGGTGATTTTCTTCACCTCAACATGTTGACTGTTGCGAGCGTGTGAAATACCGCATAGGGTTTATTTGATTCATGGTCGAAATGTACCAACTCATCCTACGGGTCATGCCACTCCGACCAAACCCCCAATATTTCATATGGCTCATTGTTACGGATGTAACCCCTATCTTCTTGTTTGTGCACTCTGAGAATACAGAGAAAAAAATACATCGGTAACCACTGAGGTGTAACTTATAAAGACTCTATTTAGGAAGGCATCAGCCAGATTATTTTGTATTCCATCGTTCGTTGTTTCGAGTTTTTTTTGGGGAGTATTCTGAACCTTTAATAGGATTTCAAGTAGTCATGTTGTGGGTGAGGTGGAGATCGATCTACAGGTTATATTCTCGTGATTGATTGCGGCTTTTGATTTTCGGGTCAGCTAGTGCCAGCTCATCTATGCAATCAACGTGCAGACGTGTCTGTTGATTAAACCACTTCCTACCATGCCCTAGTCGTATGATTTATTTGTGGCTGTTGATACTGTTGTTGTTTCAGTGCTTAGGCGCCGCTGTGCTTTCATTGATAGCAACATTATATCTGATGATGGCGATGACGGAAAACTTGGTCAATAAGGTGAAGTTTGCTATCCACGTAAACAATGGAGCAGGTATCCGGAACACCTAGTTCATATGAACGAACGAACACATGCATAACTATGTAAAGTTGGTCCATAATTCAATTTTTCCTACAGACTGTCGCTTGTGCTTGTTAGGCCCAGTTACAACAAACGTCATATTTAACCGTATTGGAACTTCTGATCCCGTTTGAAATTACTGACTATCGCGCTTGCTTGTATTGTGATTCAATTCGCTGTTGTTAACCACTACCAGTGTCCCGCAGTGAGTTCATCATGTGATGGTAAAAACGCTTCGTGCTGCTGCTGCTGCTGCTCGCAATAAGGTATGCGCAATTATCGGAATGACACTAGTCGGCTGCTGTGCTGGTTTTTTTCTGGTCAACTGAGGTCGTACTGTTAGTGAGTTCTGTTTTGCAGATATACACCACAACTTTGGCCAACCAGTAAGCCGTGACTAGATTTCTTAATGTCCCTCAGCACCATGCCATACATGGGACACCCAGTTTTCCATTGTTTCCGTGATGAAGTGAAAAGTTTTTCTGAACCTGAGGAGCCGGCGCACTCCGTTCCTGGCAACCACCTTGACTCTGCTTCCTTTTATCAAAAGTCAACAACTACCTGTTGAAATCAATATCACTTGCAGTCGTCCGCTGCTTTGAGAGCATTTTAGTACCACTCTTCATCCTTCATTCAAATGGGTTCTTTTTCTTTGCTATTGTCGCAAAATTATTGCCTATGCTTTTCTTCATATCTGGTCGCTCTTCATTCCTGATCGCGAGTGAGTATGTGATGGTAGTTACATTCTCTACGGAGCTATACCCTCACTTCATAATGATAATCCTTCAGCTGTAAACATCCTTTCAGTCTTCTGCTGCCATACCACCCGAAATAAGCATACTGACTGTGGTACTGTCAGGTTGCCCGAGTCTAGATAGAGGTGATCGGGATGCCGGGGTTGGGGTCGAAGGACAGACCTTCCAGTCAGCAGCTTCACGCCTTAGCCACTGAGATATTTCCAGCTCCTTCAATGGTGGGTTGGCACGTGATGTTTTTGACCTCTTATACGTCTTGGTGGACCCCACTCTGTAGGCACTTGCTCTACGAAGGCTTCTAGATTTTTACTTCTACCCTACCTTACATTGATAATGATTAGGCCCAACATATTTACTGCACATAATTAAGGATACTTGCTTCTCTGCTGCATCACCAACCAGCTGTTTTGTTAATAAGCGGTTGCCTGATACTCATGCCGCGTAATGCCCACTTTTGACTCATCTCTCCATGCTCACATGTCCACACTGCTTTTTCGGTGTCCTCGCTAGTTAGATTAGTTAGATTCCTCCATCGAATTATGCTTCTTTTTTATTGTAGCCAATAGTGGCGCACCTTCTATGGCCACGGCTGCTCTGGCTCCGGTAGCCCCTCGACCTCCATCTAGATCAGACCAACAGCACAACGGGGAAATTTCTGAGTCGAACCGCCCTCTACGGTGGCGATGTATTGATGATCAGCCTCACGTGGGGAAGTACAAATTTATTCGGACAATCGGCAAGGGTAATTTCGCAAAGGTCAAACTTGCCAGTCATGTCATTACTGGTAAAGAAGTGGCCATAAAAATCATAGACAAAACACAGTTGAGCCCTTCAAGCCGACAAAAGGTAATATCCCCGATTCACTAACAACATCCGCCTTTGCGCTTCTGTTTAGTTGTTCCGTGAGGTTCGGTTGATGAAACTGTTGGACCATCCTAACATCGTGAAACTTTTTGAGATCATCGACAATGAGAAGATTCTATACCTTGTCATGGAATATGCTAGTGGAGGTTAGTTGCGATATCTTATTCTACTTTTCTCCCAGCTGCTTGTCTCAGACAATTTATCTTTCCTGAAATTTGTATGCGGACTGTTGTGAACGTCTGGTAAATTCACCACCAATGACCATATATCCCGGAGAAAAAATTGACTAAGATATCGTTAAGATGTGGTGTGATGTGGAGTCCGGCTAAGCACTTTCATGGAAATCCTTAAATTTATTTTTAAAAAGTCATGTTTACAGTCTTCACTGTTCAGCAAAGGTACTCTATTTACTCTCACAGCGTTGATTTGTTTGCCCCCTATTTCTAGATACCGAAAGAGAACGTTCCTCAAATATTATATTTTCGGTCAAAATTTTTGAGTGACTTCTTCAGGGACAATAGTATTAGTTCTTGGAGTGGGGTCTCTCCAGGGAGGAAGCCAACTGTTGAAAGAAGCTCCATCAGATCAATCACAATCAGTTTCTTCTGGAGGGTGATCCGTATTGAAGGAAAGGCGTTGTAGATTAGTATTACTTCGAAAGTAATATTGCCCTAATGCGATTGCTTGGATACGTGCTTAGTGTTGGAATACAGGTTTTGATCTTTGGAGGGGATTCGGCACCACGTAGTCATCTTTCTCGAACCAAGTTATATGGGACCGTAGTCAATCGGTCTTAGTTTAGAGAACGTGATGTCTCCTGTGATCTTCCCTCTATTTCCAAACTCAAAGTTGTATCCATGTTTTTATGGACATTTGTCCGTTGTTGCTTTGGAGGCACTGAGATGTCCTTCCAAGTGCTTAAGGGGTTAATCGCCACCCAGATTTCGTCTGTATTTTGACTAAATTTTGACAGTCATCTTGTTTATGCTCTAATGTATCATTTGTTCCGATCAATTTTCATGTGACATGCAAGTGCCGATGCACGTGGTCTGTGCACGGAATTGGTTTCCAGTCGCGTACTTTACATCGGAGTTGGCTAATCTGGTTGTTGTTGTTGTTGTTGTTGTGTTACTTTGCCGTGGTTCGTACGGCAGTGAAGCATCAGTGCTGTCATTGATGATGATGACGATGCCGTTGTTCTCGATTCGGCATCTGCCTCCAACTGGTCCATTTTCCCGATTTAGAGGATAATTTTCGCGATGTCCGTTTGCTCTTATTCTTGAACCCTTCAGCTTAGACTGTTTCGCCTTCGCTCAGGGGAATACTGTTCGCTGTTAATTTTTCTCCTAGAGAGAGGGCATGTAATCTAACAGATGAGCGTCTAGGGAGTTTTCACAACTATTAGCCCTTATCTCATTACGACTGTTTCCAAGCTATCGACCGGCTCAGTAACCCTGTCTGAGGCAAGATTAGACTGCATTTTGTCTATCCAGTCATCTGTATGATGGCATCACTTCGAAAGCTTCACTATCCAATTCATATGACTGATTTATTCTCCTCCCCAACGGAACATCGAGAATGTGAAAGGAAGTGGACAAACAAGGAGATCGAAAAGTAAAAGGGTTAAGCCATGACCACCGAAGCCTGGTTAACTCCGTTTCCAAACTGAAAATCGTGAGATGAAATCGTTTATTTAGGTTGGTGCACAACATAGACGGTTGGTCGGTAATTTTGTCTTCGAATATTCATATTCAAGTTAGGCCGGCTACAAATAGGTAGACTAATGAAAGCAGAAAAAAACAGACATCAGAGGTCATACATATTTTCCCCTTTTCTCGGTTAGCAAAACTAGCGACGGAGCTGAACTGAACTTCGATGACTGGAGTAATGAATACCTTGTTTTTGGTGGTTATTTTGACTGGTGACTCGAATTGACTGAGATGACTGCCATGGCGTAAAATCAGTTTAATCCAGAAGTATGTTAGTGATAGGCTCGGTTGAATCAGACTCGATCCAATATTGTTTCTAAACGATCTTTTATGACCCCGATGTCTGGGGTGCATGACCCCGTCAGGTATCACCGTGGTTTTTGTCGGATCGCGTCTGAGAATAGTCAAGTGAAGCCAATGTTTGGTAAAAGTCGTCGGGTCGAACATTCAGCGCACACGCAAGAAGCATGGGTGAGGAGTCGAAGGATTTTGACCGATAAATTATCTTTGAATTTTGTTTTGAAAAAGTGCTCCGATTCTCTGGTGGTCTTGTTATTCTCAAGTGTTAGTTCCAGATGGCGAAGAACTGCTGTTCACCATGCTACTGTTGTCGATGAACACAGCTGATTCCTTGTAGCTCTTTCTTTTTTTAACCTTTTAGTTTTGTAATTGAAATATTGTCTGGAAACTTGACGCAACTTAAAACACATGACGTTTTTCCTGAAAAGGTCTGATTGTCTCTGTAGGTTTGTATCCTTGTTCGCTGTGTTATAGATGGGTAGGGTACACTGTGAGTGTCCAGTTAAGGCATTTAAACGTCCTGATTACTGTTTTCCCAGGCTTCTGCAGCTTTTCGGGTAAAGCACCGACCAGTTGGATGACTATACATGCGACGACGATATGGACTTTCGACCATTTGCTGCCCGACGCATTCCACCCGAGAACCTCCTTGGCTTGAGTGTGCGACTGATATAATTTCCATTTGGGAGAGGGTGAGGTGCTGTCACGATGACTAATCATAGTCATTTACCCTTCTCAATGTCTCGCGCGAGTTTTTGAACGGGTTTTATGTGGTTCACTTGGACTTTTGATGTGTTTATCCGATGGTAGGCAACACACGAATCTCTAGAAGGCTACCTTCGTCAGTTTACTCAGCAAACGTCAGCGCAGTCTAGAGCAACACGCGTACGCGCCCAAAATGCGACCAAGAGGTTCTGCGGCTAGCAACCAATATCAGCCACTGTTAGTATTCCCCCCCCCCCACAAGTTCTCTGATCGTCAAACAGTTTATTGGCTGCTCACCGCCTACTCCATTATGAGCTCTGTTCAGCGCAACGAACGTGGAATGCTACATATGCTCAGCCATTATATACTGATAAGAGTAATAGGTCTTGTGGTACTCAAATGTACAAACTAAGCTGGACGAACAGTATTAAGCAACGTAACGGAGCCGTGATGCTGAAGGGCCCACGACCCATTCTGTCATAAATCACTCCCAATGGCTTGCCATCTGGTCTTTTACATCTAGATTTTATAGGCAAGTGTTCAGAGGTTTATGAACTTCGAACTCCATGTCGTGCTCTTGCACTCGTAATTTATCATGCGTTCTTTATAACAGGATGCTCGTAACAAATTTTTATGCTTATAAACCGCTGAAATGCCATTTTTCAGAACTGGTCCTTAACACCACCGTCTGACAGTCTCTTGCCTTCGAAATATAAGCGGCTTTGTTTGAGATACATGGGGATTTTTCCGTGCACCTTGTAGCGTTTCTATTGGTGGTTTGTTCATATTTTGTCATCACTATCCAACCATTGTGTGGTCTAAGACAGTCCTTGATGTTGGGAAACAGCACTGTGGACAGTCTATGGATTGCTTGTCCGTGCCATACCGATGTCCCAAGGACGATTGCTTTTTGCGTCCTACCAACGTATTTTGTTGTTTCATATTGTATCCACTCGGATTCTTATCCCACGCAACCTTTTTTTCGTAACAAGCAACAGTTTCCGATTTTGGCGTTTTTAATTTAGTCCAGGTCGGAGGTCTTTGTTAGACCGTAATCTTTTTGTTGGCACCAGTTTCACGCTTTCGTCCCTATTTTCCCCTCATTTAGGTGAGGTTTTCGACTACTTGGTGGCTCATGGGCGGATGAAAGAAAAAGAGGCGCGAGCGAAATTCCGGCAGATCGTCTCTGCTGTCCAGTATTGCCACCAAAAACGCATAATTCATCGTGATTTGAAGGCTGAGAACCTCTTACTAGATTCTGATATGAATATCAAATTAGCCGACTTCGGATTTTCGAATGAGTTTAGTCCCGGTACCAAATTGGACACATTTTGTGGCAGTCCCCCCTACGCGGCCCCGGAATTGTTTCAGGTGCGTTTAAAATTAGTGCCAGAGATATGTCCATTTATCAGTGTGTTTTGTGTAGGCGCTAGGGAAATTCGAGTATATCGTCTGATCAATGACCTATAGACGCACCGTCTGTTTTTGGTTGCCTCGGTTTGTTCTTCCAACTGCATTACATCACCTGTGGGTCTAAGTCACTTCGACCCTATTTTCATCCCAGTTTGTTTAGGCTTCAACATCCCCAACACCTATGGTTGGACTCGCAATGCTATGATGACTCGAAAATCGAAACTCCCTAACTCACCCTCCCACTAGCTAGTTCGTCTTACTCTACCCTACCTGTTTTTTATTATCACTGGGTTTTACCCGTGATCCTTTTTCAATGACTGTCGTCGATCGATAACTTTCTAATCAACACCAGAAGATCGAGCTCGTCCGTTTGATTTTAAGGGCTCATCCAGTCTGGTGAATATCCTATGAGAAATTGGTGTCCTATATCATTTTCTGGGGCCATCTGGCCAAGCTCCATATGTTGAAAGAACAAGCATTTTATTTCATCCTGATCTGTTGACTGCCGAATAATATGTGGGCATTTTCCCAGGCGTTTTAGTTATTCCATCATGTTTGTACCAAATCAAATTAAGTGACTGTACATACCACTGGGCGTAGTTCTCAATTGCATAGCTTGCTATTAACTGACATACACCCCTATCCCGCACACGGTTATCCTATCATTTTTACTGTCGATTCGATTGTCACGTGTCTTTCTCCAGTCGTTTACGTGCATCAGCCTGCGCTAGCATCAATCATTTATTGGGACAAGTCTCTGGGTAGATTGTATTGACACTTTTGTTTGCTCTTTCTACGGAATTGCGCACCTACATTGCCACTGGTATTGGTCCTCCGATCTTCCGCTTGTTTTCACAATACCCTGTGTATGATTCTGTTTCCTTCGGATAAAGTCGGAATCCGGTCTATGTAGTTCACAAAGCACGCCCATTCCACTTGAATTTTTTCACATTCATACGCAACCAGCTTCTGATCGATCCACTTCGATGACGTCGATGGGTATTGCAGTCCTATCTGTTAGTCAATTTTTTCTTATCTGTTCACAAGCTGTGCGGTAAATTTTCTCTGGTTCACACATACCTGCTAGCCCACATACTGGACAACCGACTGATCGACCTTCACCTTATCCTTAGAAGAGCAAGGTTTAAGTGAGGCCGAGAATACGGTAGATTTGCGTGGGCTTTGTGTGCCAGTCAGAGACCGTTTACAGACATGTGTCGTAATTTTCTTTGGACCAGCTGCATTATTTTCAAGCCAGATTGATCTATAAACTAGACGGTGTCAACTGCACTCATGTACTTTTATATGTCGGGCCTTGGTTGTTGCCGAAGGAATGCACTGGCCGTGTTACTTTCGTCCCGTGTTATAGTCTTGATTTCGTGAGCTTAGAATTTGGAAACACTGCAGTTTAAACAGTGGATGATTGATGTTGAAGGACTGAAGAACTGAATTCTACTGAAAAGCAGTGGTGCACATAACCCAAACGAAAGGACAGTGCTCGTAAACTCCCGGACGACTGCTCTGCTTGCTGGCAGCTGTGAACGCTAGCCTTCTTTGTATACCTTCCCTGCCGAATTTGAACTGGGAGGATTGATGAAAGTCCTCTACACTCATCAATCCCGATAAGTGTGTGCATGTGTTCATTTCTGACTGATATATCAACGGACCCACTAGCGTCCATTCTTCATCTTTATCTGCGGTGCGGCTCCTTCTAGAGGCTTGATGAATATTTGGGAGCTGGTAGTTAATAAATACCACAGCTAAAGCAGGACGTTCTGGAAAACCCTTGTTTGGAGAGTGTGGTCGGGGACGGTTAGGATAAGAACATTTATCTCACCATAATGGGGTCAATACTACTATCAACTCATAATTTGCTGCTCCACTAAGATAAAATTTCGAAAAGTAAAATTGACGGAATATTCTGCTTCAAAGTGTCTCTCAAAAGCCCGGGAAATTAAGGAGGAACGCTTCAGGATGCATGCTTACTGATAATAAGGTTCGTGGTTTGAAACTAATCCAGGCTTCTCGATTGCTCTTGTCTAGGTTAGGGCAGCCTGGCGGTATCTCAGCTCTGATGTCTCCCTGGAGTTGTGCGTCAGCTATGCTCCGAAAGGGCACCACAACTCAGCTGCGCTGGTCACTGCCGTCTTCCTGGGTAGAGACCCCCAGGACGGGCCACATCAATGGCTAGAGACATTATCAGGCATGGCCCAGTCGCTCCCTCAATGGCGCTCGTGCATCAGAGCTATTGCCTTCAATGCATAGCTCCTTTTCCAACCCCCCCCCACTTGACAGCCCACTGACAGTGCTGGATTTATGCACCAATTTATCAGCTCCCGCCTACAATGCGCAGCTACCTACCCCCCACCAAATCATTGGTGAACGAAACTGCGGCAGCTACAACCACTGTACGACGAGTACGCGGTTCTTACAGCTGACAATGTTGATGAACATTATTATTATTTAGGTTACCGTGCCGTTTCCCTGGAGGCTTTCCCAATAGCATCCAGTTAAAACAGAGGAACTTTCAATGATTTTGATGAAATTCATAAGTTTGTTTTTTTCGATACTGACCCATGGGCAGAATTTCAAACTGGGTCGTACGTCTCAAAAAATACCAACCACGGTGTTCAATAATCCACACAAGAAACTAGTGTGTCGGATAGCCGTTTCATCGTGACCGGTAGATTTATGGGGATGGGTTTCTGAATCTCCCGAACAACACACCCATTTAATCATACAGGAATCTTTGGTGTGTTGGAGATATCATATCCCCAAAACTCTATCTTTATATATATATATATTCATTGTCATTTTTCCGTTGATTCGCCTGTTGATCGCGTGTCGTTTGGATCATTAAAGTTTTTCCCGAGGTTTTCGTTTTCCTGCTATTCGCCGTGCTATGAGTCTGGATCAAGCAACATAGCTGGGGATTGGATATTGTCACAGTCCGCATATCTTATTGTTTGCTCGCTGAGTGGTCGAACCGTAACATGGTGCGACTTTTTGTTTGTTCTTAATGCCATATTAGTAAAACAGATTGCCGGTCCACTGAGAAGTGTTGGTGCTCAACCCAAACTGGTTGTTACCACGGCTAATGTCTAAACCAGTGGTCCAGTTAACTTTTCAGGGTGCAGTTTTCCAGAAGAACCTTACGCAATCCGAGATTTTCATGATCGGGATCCTGCGTAAAGTGTATACTTGACCTGGAAAACAGTGAGCCCAGAATGACAAAAATTATCAAGAGGAGCCAACTCACAAAGATCACAAAAAATGCGTTTTTTGTGATCCCGACGCATGGCCCTGACCATATACGCAACATACGTCCGCACAAAGTCATTCACATTGCTTCATCGTAGCACCCACCGGAATGCTCAGATAACCCGAGAAAAATTCTGGCTTTAATCGAGGCAAGTGAATCATTCAGGTTGATTAGTACCCCGCCAAACAATGATTACGGCTTGTGAAGTTGCGACTGGTTATCTTTTCTTTATTTGTTTTTCCTACTGGTATTCTGAAGTCCAACGGTTCCAAAAGGTCAGAACATCAACCTATCAGGATTGATTATTCCTGGCGATCATTTTTAGACTTGTTGCTATCACTGCGGAGGTTACGTTCACTTATTTTTGCTCATTTATTAATAACACTCGATTAGCCAGTACGGGTCATTAGTTCTGAAGAAGCGATGTTTATTACTCGGTCGATAGTCCCGGCATTTCGAACGATTTCTAATTTCACCTGATGACGTAACTGCAAATGTAGTGTTCATTTTTCGGCCCTCACGTTTCTAGGTTCGACCAAAAAGCAGTTCTGTTCTTCACTTACCGAAGTAAAGTTGCGTTTCTATAAATAAAGTCAGCACCTAGCTGGGTTGCTGACAGTTTTATTAAATAAACTTTAGCATTTCCAGTCTACTTTTTAGCCATATACGTTAGGACGCAGATGTAATTGTCGTGGATTAAAGTTTGAAAAAAATACAACAATGGGGTATGGTATACTAACGCTGCGCTTTCCTCTGTGGCTTCGTGCTCATTTGTGTAGTTTATTAAATGGTAAGACATCCCCCTTTTTGAGCCCCCCCCCTCCCCCGTCGCATAGATGCTTCCGGCGGCTTGAATTTTTCGTTCTCCGAATGGTTGATTTAGTCCAAAAGAGACAGAGAGACCTTTTCATTAACTCGGATTTATTAGTAGGCTACTACTCTAAACACTTGCTATCATAAGCAAATTAATGAAGGCTTCGTGGTTTGGTTTGACTTGTCTTAGTCGATGACATAACACACAACCCTCTTTGATGGTCGTGGTATTTTGTGATGTAGGATGCTAATGAAGTTTTCTAATTGACGACTTTCGTCTTGCCCTGTCGGTAATACCTTGTCTTCTGGATGAATGTCAGGTGCCTCGAGGAATCAACAAGTAGTTCACAAAGATTTGTTCGGTAAATATGAAGTTGAACAACCCGAATGGAGTTACGACATAACAGCAGCATTCAGTATCGCATGCTGTGCGAATGTTCACGTGTAGTCGCTTTGGGAGTGTCAGCTTAGAGGACGGTAATACAAACAAACAATATAGCACATGAATAAATAACTGAAATTAAACTGGTGGGAACTTCTCAAACTCATTTCTGGTCGAAAATAACTAACTAGTTTAACAGATAGAATTGCTAAAGGAATTTGGTTGATCCCAAAGTTGTTCCCAGTGAACAGGAATCTCTGAATTTTGTTTCTTTTGGCGAACTCATGCTCAGGGGGGCTCAGTGAAGAAAATAGTTATCAACTAATTTTCTCTCGTAGTGTCCAACGTATACAGAGATCTACGCTGAAGAACATTTGTCCATATCCACGCAAGCGAACTGCACCAAAGCTGAGCATGAACTTCAAACTGTTCTGCCATGACGTACGGTCGTGTGTCACACAGCTCCACAGTTCCTGTGCAACTACAGAAGCCACGATCAGATAATTGTGGTTATAATGCTGCGTTAGACCGTTTCCATACCGTGCACCAAATTTTACACTCCTCAAAGGCGTTTTATTCGCCAAATCCCTCAAATTCTCAGACAACTGATTTAAAAAGTTGAGGTGCGAGTCTTCTTGATGCACCGCATGTTTCCACCCCTTGTAAGTGCCTGTCGGCCCCTGTGTGAATCTAAACGTAAAACACTATGTGCAAGTGTTGCATGCATGTTGTCGCTTCACTGCGGCATGCATATATTTTGCTTAGCTTCATCCCTCAACAAAGGGTCAAAACGCGCGAGGTCACATTTTTCAGTTCGGATGAGTCAATGAAGTTGAATCGTCCGCTCTCTTTTACTGCCTGACGGAGGCCCCCCATCCGTCTTGGTCAGTTAACCGGTCTTCATCATCATCAGCTGTAAAAGCCGTAAACTTGCCGTGCAGTTATAGGTGCCACAGTTTCGTTTGCCGATGATTTGGGGAGGTGAGGCAGATAATCGTCATTGGCACGCCTACAAACCGACTCCTCGGATGCTAACTTGGTGTTCGCCAAACTATACTAGGTGAGTTTCAGAGGGGTTTGGTAAACAATCTGTGGATTTATTGCTAGGCAACGTTTCGCTTTTGCGGTTGTTTGACTGTTGGCTTTCGATGTCAAGCTTCACACATGTTTCCCGATCAGCCACTCAGTTTGTACCAACTCTCTGATCATACCCTGATCACAAGAAAGGTAAGCTCCTGTATTCCGCTAACCTGATACAGACGTGAAACAGTCAGCTGTAAGCGATGAGTGCAGCGTACTTGTGTGTCCCCGAAGTGCATCTACTGGGTGACTGAACTAGCGACTCGTGTTCAGTAAGGAGATGCACGATGTTGCACGCACGCGGCAAGTTTTCATCCCTTAGTAGACCTCAGTGTCACATCGAGTGACGATGAGAGGGTTGTCGAAACAAGTTAAAACCGTTTTCAGTGCACTTGGAAAATGACTGCAAAACATCCTTTGGTGATCTGGTGAAACCTCGCAAGGCGTTGCAGCAAGTCTCATCGACGCTGTTACAGTCCCCTTTTCCTGAGCTTAGGCTTTCCCGGTGAAGGCGAGCAAGGTATATATTGACTGAAGGGGATGAAAAGGATTTCAGAAAACCGAGTTAGTGTGGATTTGACTAGGACTTCGCGCAACCCTTTACGCTTGATTGGGGATACTACATTGGGGGGTGTCCACTGTTGCTGATTGATAACCCGTATCACTTTCTCTTCAGGTGATCTGACAGAATGCTTGGAGGTGCAGCTGCCTCAATTGTGTGTTAGACTGAGACTGGAGCTCTTCATCGTTTCCCTTTTGGTCCTTCTGATTAAATTAACTTGGTCATGCGACAGCTAAACACCAGCATCCCACATTGCGCTCAATGTCGGCGACGGTGGCGCTCACAGTAACTGTATTGCAGGTTCCGAACATCAGCCCAATGGAAAGCAAAACTATGGTCCGCTGGGCCCATTCTAACATTTTGTAATTATGTCTAAACTGCATTCCCGTTCAAAACACCAAGTAGGTTTTTGTGTGCGAAACCTGTCCGGACAAAAATACGCTGGCGATCTCCATCACTGGATGACAACTGACGTCAGGATTACACGAAATTTGTATCTTTCACTTTTTTTGGTTTTCGTAAATGTGAGTGAGATCAGCTGACTGTCCCGTATCTAAATCTGGAGGAAATCGGGTAAGGTCGTTGCACGTGATTTTTCCCGACTTTTACATCATTTCCCCATTCACAATGGATGTTTCCCGTTTAATTCAGGGAAAGAAGTATGATGGTCCAGAAGTGGATGTTTGGTCACTAGGTGTCATTTTGTACACCTTGGTCAGCGGTTCTTTACCGTTCGATGGACAGAATCTACGCGAGTTGCGCGAACGTGTTCTTCGGGGCAAATATCGCATTCCTTTTTATATGTCCACGGATTGTGAATGTCTCCTCAAAAAAATGTTGGTCCTCAATCCAGCAAAACGGCACAGCCTTGAAGTGAGTGTTGAATCCATTTTGATTTGTTTATGTAATTGGCTGATTCTTTTCCGTTTTTTTTTTGCTGACCGCCCTTATCATCTGAGTTTCGCACACGATGAACTCCAAACGATTGACTTAATAATGCAGTGCATTGACTTATCATGATCGGATAACCCACTTCGCATCCTCGTTTATCTGTCCTATGGTTGTTGGCTTATTTTAGGCGGGCTCCATCAGTGGGAATGGCATTGGATTTCACTGCGCTGTTTTGTTTTCCTTTAGGTTTTCTCACCTTTTTTGCCACTTCATATCTGCCAAATATGTTTTAGTCCGTGAAAAAGTAGGCGTTCTATTTATCTCTAAAGCTCGCTGTTGGTGTAGGCTGCACTGTTCAAGCGTTTTCTACAACAGCCCACTCTAAAGGGTTCAGTGTTCGTATGAAGTTCAGACCTACAGATTTGTCCTGCATTCGTCAATGTTGGAATACATCCTTTATGTGATGTAGATAATGTTTTTTGAGGATTTGGCGGTTTCCTGAAAGCTAAACCACATGAAGCTTTCGTTCACATTAAGTGGCATTGATGAGGTCGATCACGGACAGTGTGGTTGCCTATTGATGCTAACAGCTGGTTGCAACGACACCATATCATGGTTCCTACATTCGTTTCATTTTCGGACCTAGCTATCTTGGTTGTGCTAAAATTCCCTCCTAAAATAGCAGCTGAATCGATGACATCCTTGCCGTGAAACATGTGGCGGTTCATTTTACATGGTTTATTGGGTTAAACGGTCGGTCTGGCCGTGAAGTGTCTATCACGTGGCCGTAATTCATATCATGCACCTAGACGCTACAGACCTAGTCGTACGAAGACACATGACGTAACCGGCAGGACGACACTTCTGATGGCGTGCAGGAGACGATTTCTATCTTAAACCAGCTCCGTCTAAAAATGATTGATTCATCCGGACTTGAAGCTATTTCGACCCAGCGTTTAATTGGGAAAGCTTGATCGAAGTTTGCAATATCTTCATTATGGGTGTGAAACAGGAAGCCATCAGTGCTGGACTGTCGGCGAGTTTTACTCTTTTTGACCAGACCAATAAAATGGGGGATAACAAGGTTAAACAAAATTACCTAATGTTCTGTATAGCACAACGCTCATATTGTATGAAATGTGAGAGCAAGGTATTCTCGTCGTTGCCGATTGACGGGCCTCCAAAGCACAGTCGATTGTTTTTATCGGTAATATATGACTCATAAGGTGCATGACCGTACGAACAGAAACAGATCGATAGCGACAACAAAACGCCGCTATGTACGTGACCGGACCACTCCTTAATACAATCGTCAATATACAACCCATGTCCGTCGGATTAGGAGGTCGTGAGTATTTGACGAAACCCAGTCATATGGCAATGGTTGATTTTAGTGTGGGCGATTGTGTGTGTGTGTGTGTGTGCAGAGAATTTTCCGCCCGTTAAGCAGTCACTAACTGTTCATTTTTATACATTTGTTTCACTGTGTTAAGACACCCACCTGCTAGGTTTTGGGCTTCGAAGACAGTGAACTTTTTTGTGATTTTTGCAACATGGTTCTAGTTTTAATAATGCTCGCTGTGGACACGTTATTTTGCTTCAGCTCCATTTTTCTCCAAACTCCATTAAACGCCAGGCAAAGGTCACTGAGGACCATCTATTTGAATATAGACTGTTTCCCTCTTTTGATTACACCAAATGTTCAGGAACTTACGATATTTTTTCGTTGTTTTGGTACATCTTCGGCACTGTCTTTTGTGCAGTCTGTTATGAAAGATCGATGGATCAACACTGGTTATGAAGAAAACGTCTTGGCTCCGTATGTTGAGCCGGAACCAGATTACACTGATCCTGTAAGGATTGAAATAATGGTCAATATGGGATTCAGTCGTGACGAAATCGTCAAATCTCTGCGACAGGGAACGTTTGATGACATTATGGCCACCTATCTCCTCCTAGGTCGACGGAGGTCGTCCCTCGAGAGCGAATCGCGGGATGGGTCCAGCCTTTCATTAAGGTGAGACACTTCTTCCCATACGTTTGTGTTTTGCGCAACCTTTCTTATGCGAAATCAGATGGTTCCCCGTCTTGATTGTAATGGGGCGTAATTTCAAAAATATATGAGGCCTAAAAGCGAGTAAGTCGCCGACTTACCCAAAGCACATGGCATAGAGTTTTCATAATCCTTCGTCCTTACACTTAACTTTATGCTGTGTTCAACTCATCGCTCCTCTTACATGTATCATCTAAACAAGTAGTATCCTCTGAACCCTCTACATGCCTAATATGTTTACCTTCGTGGATAGATTACCCTCTTATTAGAATTTCACCCTTGGTCGCCTACATTTTTTCCATCGATAGGCAAACGAACTCCCCTGTCCCGTGGGCTAGTGGGAAATGTGGCCAACCATGCGAGTTGACTGAATGCTGGAGATGAAGCACAAGCCACAGGCTGTACTAAATGGGGCCACAAATGAACAGAGGAATGAGGCATACATTTCACCTTTCTACCTACCATCCAGTCAACCCACGATGTCCACTTACTTTCTGGTTCAGCAAAGCCGGTCCTCAGTCACTGAAATACCTCAGAGCGTGAGGCCAAATGGTCCCGATGCTGTTTGATGTGATATGACTTTAAGTCGAATAGAGTATTAAAGCACCTCCCCTTGGTGTGTAGCACTAAATGCGAGTGAAATTTTGAGGATTTCTCATTTCTTCGCTGTGATGCAAAAGATCTTGGCGGGGATGACAATGGTATTTACAGTTCAACCTCTTGGAAACGGCCACGGTAAGGAAAAGGCTAAAATGTCCCTTTGTCAGAGAATAGTTTCTTCTACATCATAAAGTTTCATCAATTTTCTCCTAAGAAATCACTTTGAAGAAGAACGATATGAATATCTAACTTTTAGTGGTCCAATAAGGGTTTCTCTTGCGCTTAGGGTCTTCCCCAGGAGGACGGGTCCGCAAAAACGAACCAGCCTCTCCGGATGATGTAACTTCACCCACGTAGCCTAATTGCAGTCCGTTCATTTTTTCCTAGAAGACTAGTATCCGTGGACTGCGCGTAAGATCTATCCGTGTTATTCGGTTCGTGTCGACAGAAGTTAGTCGTCCTTATCTTGGGGGAACTGAAGAAGTTTGTCTGTCGTGCTTTTGCACCGGTGTCTGTCCACAACAGGGCAGAATCACACGAATAGAAGTCGCCTTTACCGCAGCTATAGCTTTTTCAACCGCGTTACAGTTGACCGTCACAGAGTAAGACTTACGAAAATCGTTGAGGACGTCGTTCGGCTTCAGCATTCTGGCCTGGACTGAAGCTTTTACGGTTTGCCCAAGCCTAGACATTTGAAAACGCAGTTATCTACCATTCATTCCGTCCTACTTCACCATACGAAGTCGATTCAACCACGTGATACATCAGCTCAGTCCAAGGATCATGTGTGAAGCATTCACATAGTGTAACACCCGCGCACAAGCAGCAGGACACACTTCCCACACCAATAACAGCACATATGACGGTTTGTTGACCAGTCTCTGGTGAGCGACATTGGTAATGCTCTAGTGTCAGTCATTTGTTCCTTGGTAAACGTCACCCTCGCTGATAGAAGCGTCGGACATTTTTATTTAATATATCTACTGTGGAGTCAACATGCTCATCCAAATGCCCCACAAGAAGGTTAGGATCGGCGGACGCGATGAGCACACACATAGTGGATGAAGACGGACAGGCATCGACAAAAACAGGTGAATACTGGCGCCGGCGGATTGAGGTGTTAGTCTTTAGTAGACAGTGAAGATGTGCCCATGACAGTAGACAGCTGATGGATGCTTCCCTATTGGCCGTTTCCTTGTTCCATCCTTTTTCACATCGCCCAATCAGGCCAAGCTTATGGTGTCCGTTTTACGGTCATCGGTTTATCCTAAAAGCTCGAATAGCGATCAGAAGTAGTCTGCTGTTAAAGGAGGACTTTGGGATTGGTCGTCGTCGTTTTCCCGAACAGTAACACCGGTTTTGACTGCTGCACAACTACATCAGTCTATTCGAATATTCTGATGTATAGAGCAGTAAAAACGGAGGACATCGACTACTAGCCTAACACAAACATTTAAAGTGTCTGTATCACCCTCACACATAGATAACTTCATAGAAACTTACAGTACGGAAATCATGGGTTTCATTTTGCTGCCATGTCTTGCAGCATTCCTAATCAGATAAAAGAGAATTACGTGGGCCCCGCCATGGGTAACGGGGGGTTCGAGTTTTCTGTTATGTTAACCGGTCCTGCTTTCCTCTGCTACCCACGTTTATGTTTAAGAAGAAACTACATTCTGTATGTATTTCTGGTCATTTCATGCCTTTTAGTACAACCCGCACGGGTCTTAGATTGAGATTTGGCTTCAACCACGCCCTCAGCTTTGGTGCTACACCCTTCTATCAGACAAGTCAGTCTGTGCAATACTTCTGGTGTAAATATGGCAACCTCTTATTTTCAAACACCTCGTGGGCGCTACTCATGGTAACTGGCCAGGTGGAGTAGTCTGTTTTCTTATTTTTTCCGCGGAATGTACTGTGTATTTGAGGATCTTTCTCCTTAGAACAGTCGTATGCACGTTTATCTTCTCTAGGTACTGTTGATATATGTGTGACCCGTTAGCTTGTAAACAATACCAGTTCATCCGCGAGGCATGTCGCCGCAATCACTTTGTCGACATTACGCATCCTGTCTTGGATACTTGCCAGAAACTTAGTCGCTCGTCCGTTGTGTGGCAATGACGCTCTAGAAGGATCCGACGGTTGCCTGATTCGATTTAATATCGAGACAGTTTCGGTCGATTTTCTTCCTAAAGTGTTCCAGAAGGTTGTCGGATTGTGTGTTGTACCCTTCCGCCTCTGTATTTATCTACTTCATATGGGTGTTCATCATAGTTGAATCAGACCTATGAAAGTTTCTGGGTTATGGGTCGTCCGAGCGTCGCAACTTGGTCTCACTTCACAAGGGACTTGCAGTTCTGAGAAGCATTTACTTGAGCGGCTGAGTTAGAATGGAACTCCCAGCGATCTGGACCCGCGCTGGACGCTTCTTTAGGTTTTATCCGCACGTAAATTCCAACAGTCGACATAGGTCGCAGTGTGTCAACGTCTTTCGTTGGCAATCAGTCTGCTTTGATGTAATTTGGTTGACGAAGTTTCACGACTCCCTGTAACTTTGATGTTTTTATTTGTACCAGGCGCAATATCGCATCACCTTCTTGTAGGAGAAGGGGGTTTGTACCAGTCAACAAATTAGCCCGCATCGTCAATAGCCACTGCATCGAGAAGCTAATCAGTAGGGATTAACCGTTTTAGTGTGTGACGTATGAAGCCTCCACATGTCTTTTTTCTGCCTTTCCACATTCCCGTGAACATGCAAGCCTTTGTTCACGAAGAACAAATGCGTGACAGGCGGCAGCAACAAAACAAAACAAATATCAAGGTTGTCGGCTTTTCATCAACCAGTCGGAAATAACTGTAGTTATCAAAAGCTATCACCTTGGTTTGGTGGTAGCGCCTAAGTTCTCTGGTGAGCTTGCCGGCTCTACTAGCTGGAACCTGATTCTGTCACGATCAACCACGTGGACCGGAGTTGAATTTGAAGATCTTTACCCTTAACAGGCTTCTTCAGTACGGGTAGCTACTACTTTGTTCTCATTATTCATTTGCTGATCACTTCTGCCGTTCATATACCAGTTATTGGTTTTAGTGGATGTAGGACGCGGTTGAATGACCTTTAAGTTTAGATGTACTAGTTTACCACTGTGCAATGGAAATCTACATCGAATACTGCTCCTGAGGAGATCGGTAAGGTTTTGGAGTAAACGGTATTGCAAATTTGACCGTGAAACTATTTAAACCTATTGGCGTAACATGCTCGTTTGCACACCAGTTTGATTTCGACGGAGACTCATCTGGGACCCAGCTGAATCCCTCGTTTGTGGTGTTTTTAAGCATATTCCACGTGAGTCTACCGTTAAAACCAAATTAGTTTGAAAATTAGTACGCCAATTTCGTGCGATTTGTGTTAAGCAGAACATAAAGTCTACGGAAACTCGGGGACTGCGTCCACTTGATGAGCCACAAGAAGGGCGAAACCGGTCTTGGGCTGTCGAAGAGTTTTCGGCAACCTTTTGAGTAATGTATTACGTCTATCTAGACCTATGTTCAAAGGCGGTGGTCATTCGTGTTGTAATTTTCAGGATAATTGTGCAATATATTACCTGAGGTCCTGTCACCATGTGATTATTTTATATCATTAAATCACTTCTCATAAAACCGAGAGTTAACGAATAACATGCTAGGTCCGCTGTTTACAACGAGACATCAGCAAGCAAGGCCCACAGGTAAAACGAACACAAGTTATCCAGCTTATTGAGTAGCCAAGAGGTTAAATTGAAAGCACCATCCGTAACCTTTGTAGGTGGTTTGAGACATTCAGCACAAGTTGTACCTTATTAATACCGACCAGATGGCTCAGTCAAAAGAATAGTGCCTGAAGGGTTTCACATTTGTTTGCTGTTTTCAAAAACCTGATACACCGATGCTAGATGAAGGACATCAAAACCGAAAAGCGCCAACCCCTGAGAAAAGCCAGAGATCTGTCGAGGATTACTGTAGTCACCCGTGCTATTCGGTTAACTAGTTCAAATAAGAGGAGTTCTAAAGAAGCATATTTCGAAGGTTGATGTGGTGACTTCGTAAGGTTGTTCCGCTTGATTAGTTCAACGATCCCTTGGAAGCCTGTTGTCAGTTAGAGCATCAAGAATCACAACGGTTCCCTGATATTTGACAGTGAGTGTTTGGACCGCTGGCAGGATATTTCAAACAGCGGTTCATTCAACCACCTACTGCTTCCCATACAGACTGTTGCCCTGTAACGGAGAAGTGGACTATGAATGTGGAAAACTTCGTCAGCCTCGGAAGTGCACAAGCACCACCGTACTGTTGATTTCGATGATCTTCCTCCTGCGCTTTTCAAGGACGGCATTAGATTCCCCAGTCAGTACCTGACTAATTTATTTCCGTCCTTCTGGGTGAAAGATTGGGTCTCACAGAAATAGGCTGAGTCGCTAATAGTGCCCATCTTCTCGCAGTGAGTGTACTAACTGGGAAGGCCTCAGTTTCACTTTCGTTGTAACTAGGCTTCCAGTATCACTGGTTCTTTATCCACTTGACGTGGCGCATTAAACCTTGAACGATGAGCATTACGCGCGTAGAAGCTGCGTCGACCACACCCTCACACCGTCAGATGTTACACCAGCGTCGTGCGTACAAGCGGCCCACAACCTTGATCTCTGACGTCAAAAGCGAGTCGGGTTCGGTTGATTGGTCATTGCTGTTAACTAAGCCTGCTCGACAAAACATCCCAGGAGTTCGTGTACATAATCTGGTCTTTATAATTGCATGGTTCAAGGCGCGTACGCGTTTATTGGGATCCCCCCTTAAAAAATTCCCTATAAGAACTGGTCTCAGACAAAGATGTGCAATGAAGCTGCCCACACCACACCCCCCCACCGTCAGATGTTACACCAACGTCGTGTGTACAAGCGGCCCACAACCTTGATCTCTGACGTCAAAAGCGAGTCGGGTTCGGTTGATTGGTCATTGCTGTTAACTAAGCCTGCTCGACAAAACATCCCAGGAGTTCGTGTACATAATCTGGTCTTTATAATTGCATGGTTCAAGGCGCGTACGCGTTTATTGGGATCCCCCCTTAAAAAATTCCCTATAAGAACTGGTCTCAGACAAAGATGTGCAATCTCTCTGATTTTGTTCAATTTCGTCATCGATGAAACAATTAAGCAATCTCTAAAGAGTCTTCAAAACCTCGATGTTCAAAATGTTGATGGTAAGGAGCTTGTTGATCCGGAGCACGTAGACAACATCATCCTTTGCGTTAAGGATGAATACAAAGCACAAGCGCTCTTGCATAAACTGACCAACACCGCCATCTTTCAGCATGGTCCCTGCACCATGCAGAGTTATCCTTCGGAATGTGCAGCCTCTTAACATGCTCCTTACACCTCAAGGAGAAGCTGTGGAGAATCTTGCATACCCCTACAGTTGTGTTATCTCTAGTGGTAGTATGTCTGGTGAAGTCAGTGCACGAACCTGGGATGCCAATTGGTGTCACTTGGCATCAAAAAGGCTCATCGTTGGGTCTCAGGGTTGCGCGTGCCACGTTACAATACGAACTGCGTTACTGTATAGGTGCGAGACGGTCTCTGCAAACGGTTTATTGGACATCGTTATCTCCGAAGCGTTGCTTGTGTTGGATGGCATCGACGAATTCATGGTGAGGTAAGTGGAAAACTGTTGTTCAGTCCTTCAGGTGGGAATTTGGTCGCAGAACACCCTTTTAGTGCATAGCTGCCATGCCACTTGAAGGAAGTAAGGGGCCTGAGATACTGTCAGGCTGCCAAAGCCTGGACAGGAGCAGTCGAGATGCTGATGTTATTGACTTACGCGCGAAACTCAAAAGTCAAATCGTTCAAGTAGAGGCTTATCAACAAATGCGGTACTATGAATGCAATAATCAAATAATGAATGTCTACAAACCTCAAACGTAGGATTACGCCAACTTCTGTACACCGGTTTAGAATCTGCTTATTCCAAACGGGATCACATCGACTCAAAGCAAAGTGGCCTCAAGATGATCAAACTCAAGTGTTGAGTTAAACAACGCGTGCGATGACAAGGTCAAAGATCGGTTTACGAATAGGCGTAAAACAGAAATAACAAGTGTTGTACACACCATGAATAGGAGAAAAGACTCAGCTTGTGTTGGGTTCCAACCAGGGATCTTCCGCTCGGTAGTTTCGCGTCTTAACCATTGAGCGATCTCGAGCTCTTTCAACTTCAACTTGATCGTTCAAAGGGAAATCTCGAAAGTATGTTAATTCTAACGGTGTGTAACTATGGAATGTTAGATGTTGCCACACCCACAAACCCGAGTAGAGAGCGGTGTGTATGGTTTCTTGTGCAATGATGCGTGCGATAAACACGTGCAAATGTGCGCACATTCATTTGAAACTGTGACATGTGGATTAAATGATCGGAAAACTGAGCTAGGCGCTTGGATTTTGGGACTGTGACGAGGTCAAAGTGGGCTGGAATATGAATAATCATCAAGAACTTATTAATCAGCAATCTCGAAAAGATCACGGATTCAGTTTCATTCATTCCTTCCACAAGCTTCCGTTTATGGTGGTACCTGTCGAGTTGATACTGTCGCGACTGCGACGTGTTGGCACACTGTTCCTGACTGCGAGTCAATTCTCAGGTTTTCCAGTTATGTGTCACCATTTGTTGAATTCAGCAGGTGAGAAACACCGCGCACTTTATTATGGTGGCAAACTTTGGAGTGGGACTTTGTTTCTCTTAATGTAAGCCTAATCACCGTCCACGTGATATCGTATAATATTTCTGAAGGCTCAAGGAATACCACTTTGTCGGTCATCTCCCAGCATCCATTGTAACTTCTTGATTGATTGCGGGTTATGTGCATCGTTATTTGATGCCCTTTGTGTATCCACGTTTACCTTCTGACAGTCAGCGTAATTTCTTATCTCAGCTTTTGTCAAAGCGATTCACCCATTTACCCGTTCGCACTGTTTTTAAATAGTTCCTGCAGGATGCTAACGGATCTTGCAGCTTTGCAGTTATCTTTTACCGTTACCATTTATCAGCAATCACTTAGCATTTGTTTCGCTTAATTTTAGACAAGGAAGTTATTCCTTGTCAGCAAATGTAGCCTCCGTGACAGCTGCTCTGGCGACTTCCACTAGTGGCGTAACTGGTGGGGAGGTGACTTCCAACGCCGCTAGCGGCGACGATGGGCTTTCCGCCAATGCTGCTGGTCCACCGACATTGCCAAGCCATCCGGCGTCGCTCACCACCAAGGGTTCCGTTCCGTCTTCTCGGTCATCAAGCACTACTCCCTCTACAATGACTACAACAACAGCAACACCTAGCTCCAGCCACACCGCTAAAGTTAATTCTGCCATGACATCTGCAAGTACGGCCGTCCGATCTGGTAGGTATAGTAGTATTTGTCTGATCGGTAGCACCTTAGTCAACGTTTTCTCAAGCAGTTTTCTTTAGATATTTGCTAGTGTCCCAAAGATTATTTGTGGTATACAGTGCTTCTGGTCATGTTTTTCAATTGTGCTGCGTATTTTTGACTTGGAAGAGCATTATGTTCAGTCACGTATGAATTTCGGCTCTTTCCTGTACGATATTTTGCCAGAAGTAACCACAATCCTGTGCAGTACCAAGTAGTTTGACAGATTCCGCGACACCATTTGCTTACGACCTTGTGTCGTTGTACTCCAGGTACACTTGTGTCCTTTTTGGCTATTTTTATCGCTGTTTATGCTAACAGTTCATTCTACATGAGTGACTTTAGTTGGGGACTTAGAAGATTAGTCAACTGTCCATTGAACTAAATGTAACCATTTCTGGATTACGATACATTTTCAAACTTGGTAGCTTTTTTTCGATATTGAAGTATTCGTGAAAATAACTAACTTAATCGTTCTTTTTATTGGTCTCTGTCCATAACTTCCTGGTCGGTGTTGTGACACATATTCCGGTTACAGGCTCTCATTGTACTCCATTTTCAGCGATTACCTCTGCATCGGAAGCCTCCGCTGGCCCGATTATCTCACCTGCCAATGTTACTGGGGCACATAAGAACGCCTTGATTAGCAATGATGTTGATTTTCTTGGCACTGCGTATACCCCTACCTCTGCATCTAACCGACTAACGAGAACTGACCATATCCGTGCGTCAGACAGGCCGAATAAGGCAGAAGCCAACCGTCTTGTTGCACATCTGCGTGTGACCTCCGGCGGCCATGTGCCGCCAGATGCCGTCGCTCCCCCAGTTATTGGTGGCGGTGGACTATCAGCCTACCCAGCTGTGCCTGGACCTCGAAGCAGCATAGATGCAACTGGACCAGGGAGACCTGTTACGGCAATCCACCAGCGAAAACCGGCTTCAGCAACAGTTCACCCTACTGCACAGGCAAACAAACTCTCATCTGCAATCGCCACGGCTTCCGGTAAGTGGCTGTCTTAGTACAATGCTATCCGTGCCCGTTGTTTACAGTGACCGTTAATAACTTACTTGAGGGTAATCAATGATTGAACCGATCTCGACAGGATACAGGTCCTGGTTCATCTTTTGCGTGTCGCACACCTAGTGGCATTAGCTTAGCCAAAATATAGTTTCTTGTATATTCACGATCGTGTTTCCAGAAAGATCGATTATCGACTGGATAAATGTCTTCCATGGCCGGCGCACCCGCCATATCACAAGTCGTTTCGTAACACGTGACCAAGTATCGATTGCTTGTCTTTTCACTCAACTATTTTCGGCTTAACCGAAGTTAGAGAAACGCCATTTTGACATTTCCAGTGTATAGTCTATCGATTGTCCCTCTGACGCGAATTTTCTCAGAGGAGACGAAATTCCCCGACTTTTATTGGCTCGCTGCTAACAAAGAAGTGTAACACTCTCCATTTGTTTAATTAGCCTGTGTTTTGCCCACCCACAGTACTTTATAGTGTTGAGATTATTTTTACCTGTGTGTGTGAGGATGAACGGAAACGAATTAGGCTTCCGGATCTGTTTTATGATTTTGTGTAGGCCATACCTCCTAAGGAGTGATCTCTCCGGAATAGACCACTTTAAGTTAGGCCAAATGGTCCCATTTTTCCACAATGTCTTTTCTCTGATGGATCACTCTTGCCTAAAACCTTGTAATAACCTGCTGGTGCTTGATGCTGGAAAGCTTTTGTTTCCCAGACTTCGAGGAGAAATGTTTCACCCATTTTTCATTCCAACGCCACACTGAGCAGTGCACTATCTTCTACCGTGACACAACTTTCGCGAGATCTTAGTTACTATTCTGAAGGTGGCGTATTTCCATCTATCGTCCCTCGCTTTTTGTTTGAGATAAGAACTGTCAAACGTACCTGTTTTTTATAGCTCGTCAGTCTTAATGTTCCAAAAGGTAAATCAGCCATATTCACTCATAACTAGCATCTAAGGATGCGATCTTGATTCCTACTACTTGGTCATTTAGTTTGACCAACCATCATTGTTAGGTCACACAAATAATAGTTCGAACTAATTCATCTAGTCACAGTGCTGTTTCGCTGCATGTTTACCGTTGTCTGAAGTCAAGCAACCAGAAGTATCCACAAAATTGATGTTAGTGCGCACAGTCGTTCACTTTTCCCGTACTGCCGCATCTGAGTTTAAAATGAATCGGTTTGTTCGTTGACTAGGAATTGGATTGCATCGTAATTTAGCTGCCTAGTTTTATGTAATTTCCGGTTCCAGCTCAACCGGTTGTAGATTATGACGTCCCTTTTAGGAGTTCCTCTCCGTAAGGCTCGCTTTATTTGGATTTTCACTCTAAATGAGCAGCGCTCGATTAGCTGTCCATGTTTATACTTTTCCCCCAGCCCGACGTACGAAGGCTGGTGCTCATGATGCCACTTCGACAACCCCTCAAGCTTCGGATGGTTATCCTAGCGTCAGTCGCCGTCCTTTCACCGGAACTGGACGAAATGGATCTGGTGGTACCGGTGTCATGTTGGATGCTCCTGGTGCGCGTAATTCCATCGCAATAACTGGCCTAAGTTCCGGTGGCACTGGGGGCAGTGGTAATGCGAATCTTCCAACCTCAGCCGGATTAGCCCCTTGTGAAAAGGGCACATCAGGTCCCGGCGGTAACGGACAGCTTGCTTCTAACGGTGGGGGCCGGCTGCCATCCCATGAAATTCGCAGGTTCGTGTATTCAATGTTTTTACTCCATCGCTTCTCAGCTTTTTCAACAATTGACGGTTAGGTCTGTTCACCACCTCCAAAAAACTAAGAATCGGTGCCTAAAATTGCGGATTTTTCCGCCGGTTAGGAGAGATTCCTCGTGGAATTGTGTTGGGGCACAGTTTGGGATCTGCTTCCTTACAGACTCTTACTAGAAGTTCACCGAAATCCCACTCTATCCACCACTATTAGTCACACTGAAGTGAAGTTAGAAAATACCTTGCTTAGATCCCAGTTACTTCGAGTTTCACTGCTTTTTCGCTATATAACGATTTGGTTATCTGCGTCATTCAGAAGACGACATTTACCTGCTAGTCAGTTTGACAGAACGAAAGTTTTCTTAGCTAACAGTTATTGTTTTTCGGATATACAGATTGTTTTTCTTCTCAGGCAACCTACATGCCTCGGAAATCAGTATGTGTATGGAGCGACTAGATTTGAATCTGAATGATCGAGGTTATTCATATCGCTCCTATATTTGATACATGCTCTGTTCGTGTTCGCACCTGAGAGCTTTGCGTCATCTAACTCTCCTTCTGTGTAATCCGTATTCTTCATTCCATGGGTGCTGGTAATATTTTGAGCCTGACACAATGACAATAATGTCGCCAGAAATAACCAGGTAAAATTCCAGTCAGATGGTTGTTGTCCGTTACATAGCTGCCGTACAACTTGAAACAACTACGAGACCCAGTGTGCCCAAAACCACCCTACTCACCTTCGCGGTTCTTATTTGAAAAACATTTCACTAAACTGACGACGAAACTCATTATGAACTTACTGTGTTTTTCCCGTGATATCTGGTCGTCAATTGTGGGCAAATTAAGTTCAGTCTTTCGAGAAAATTTCGGATAGATTTGTTGCTGGACAAGGTTCCGTTTGCGTGCCATACAGCTAAGGGAAGGTGGTATGCGTGAAGTAAAGTCTATCTCCATGCCAAACTTTTCGTTCGTGAAATCGTTGACCTTATGACGTCTTATGACCACCAATTCGTCATCGACATAGCACCAAAAGGCTCTTGGTGTGTCGCCATAGCCAGCAAAAACCTTTTTTGGGGGTCTACCGTGTGGATGTTGACCAAAATCGGGGATATTGCAGATACCATTGTTTGAGAGAATAAGCAAGTGAGTCAAGAATAAACTGATCAAGACTCAGATATAACTTTGTACGGGGGCTCCTCGTAAGAAGACGAATTTTTCTTTGTAAGTTTTGATGTTAGTTCGATGTGTACAACCTTCCACAGGATTGGCGCTGTAGAACTAGCCAAGCGGATGTTATCGATGAGAAAGAGACTCGATGAATCAATTAGTTGAGAGCATAAGTGTGTGTGTGCATCTTAACCATCGGTGTGACCTTTACCCAATCACACTAGCTGAGAAAACAAAAACCCAACCGATGTGTAGCATTAATTAAGCCTACTTTCATTAAGAGATCTTGTTGAGAGTGGTTCTGTCTGCCTTGACAACTTGTAAACCGATCACTTGACCTGACAAGGGTCTGGTTCCAAAAGTTATACTGGCCATTAATAAGCCTACCTAAATTGTTTTCCTGACTTTACGGAAACTTTTCTATCGGTCCCAAGCGTTTTTCAGTCGATTCATTTGCATCCCTATTGCTTTCGCATACGTTACGATGAAACAACCTTGAGGTGATCGTGGTATGCGTTTGCTCAACCGTCCTCCACAAAACCTAATTAACACATCGAAATATGCTGCACGCTAAACAAGATTACATATATAGAAACGACGTACACACAATATGTGAGCGTCATATCCGCTATCCAGAAACTGGTACAACTGATTTCGTAGATTTTCGCAGCCAGCGTGAGCGTAACTATCACCAGCTGTCTTGCGTGTTTGTATTGGGCTTCTGTCTGATAAGTTTATTGAACAATGCCGAATTTTAATGACGTTGACTAAACAAGTTAGTGCATAACCGTCCATATGTATAATGGCCGGTAACTATCTCCATGTAGTTATTCAGCCCATTTCAAAGCATGTGACATTACTCAATTCTATGCGCCTTTATTCAAACTTTGTAAAAGTACATTCGTAGTCGATTTCGACAAGGTACACCACGCCCCACGATTTCTTGGGCGTAGCATTTTTTTTCCCCAATCGTTTACGGGATTTACGTAGTGGAATATACTTGAAGCTTTTAGCTGACCTCATTTTACTCTGCGACCGCTAGTTTTCATTTGTTGGCTACATGTGTGTCGAAGATTGCAGCTCAACGCGCAGTGGTTGGCGACGAGATTGCCACGTATTTCAGTTTGCTTCCATCCACGAACAGTTGAAGTCCCGGACGATTGATGTTGAACTCGATCGCAGCATGCCAGAGTGAGATTGTCAATCAGTGATGGGAGGATGGCTAATGGCCTATTTCACCATCCCGTTCTGTGATTCACAGTGAACGAATCCGAATCCTCCCACTCCATTGTGTTGGATGTACATTCTTCTTAGTGCTCGCAAGCAGCATTGGCTAACATCATGGTTAGACAGCCGATCGAGCCACCTGGCTCTAAAAATGATCCTCAAACCTCAGCGGTCGAACACTAATTTGTCGGAAATGTACACCCCGTAAGAAACAGATTTCACATGCGTAAAATGTGACCGAGTGCATAGCAGCTTGTTAGACCCGAACATACTGCTATTTGCTATGAAGCATTCTGCAATCGAATGAAAGATTCCTCATCATTGTTAATCCATCTCATCTTTTGCTTGACAGTGAGGTAGACTGATGGAACCAAGGTATCTGAAGACCTCAGATTCCGGTCTTCCCTGCATTAACGGCACTCCTGTGCCAGTTGCATGCATGGGAAGTGCCCTAGTTCGGGTTGTATCAAACCCCAGACCTATCGTGACATCGAACTAATTGATACAGTTGAATGTAGGTTTAAGGTCACCAGAGCTGTTACCAACAAAATGCTACTGTCAGCGTAGTTCGGGCTGGGTATTCAAAGGTTTTGGTTCTGTTTGATTCCATGATAAAGCTCAAGATTGTGTTCCATGCAGCTGAAAACGATGTGCTGGACATCTTACTCGTTGAGTAGAATGATGCTATCTGGTTACTTGCCATACATCTGGACCGAGACCTTTTTAGCTGAGTATTACCGTCTCAGGAAGTTTCACGTTCCACAATGCTTCATAGCCTGCTGAGTCAACATTGCCGTAAAATCGACAAAATACTCTGCCTGGTTGTCCGTACTTGAAGGAATACTCCAATGTTCGTCGTGGGATGAATATATCTTCAATTCATCATCCCTGCAAACGGAATTCCCCTTGACTGAAGCGTGTATGTTTTTAGTAGCTGCGAAGTTGTTTGGCTAGTGCAAGATGATCTTGACAATAGTATCTAACAGTTTTCCTTGGGAAATGACTTTTAAGTCAAGGTTCCCCAATCGGATGCGTGTACTTTCGACTTCTATTGATGCATGTTCTGTAGATTTGAGCAGAAATGCCATCTTCGCGTGTACGATTGATGGTGTCACAGTTACCGCTCGACGGTAGGTACAGTCCATATCCTATAGGGTTAAGGTATCTGAAGGGCAACAAACTGATCATCTGAAAAACTGGCCAAATTATTCCAACCATCTAATAATTTTTCTGTGAATGTTAGGGGTCTGTTGCACATTTGGCCAGCTGCCTGTTGCCAGCCAAACCGATAGTTTGTTTGCAATTCGGGACTTGAATGTTGAATGTACAACCTGCTTCCGTATTAGGAGGTTCGTTGGCGCAGGTCCAGTGGCCTTCAAACCATGTGGTCCAGTGCTGCAGGTTATTAGCTTGCGTCCCTACACTTTATCTGGGAATTACTCCCGGATAAATAGATAGGGTGGGCAATATTGCCTGTCTATAAAAAGGTTGTCCTGAATGCGTTCAGTGAGTGTTGCCAGCCTTACTTTTCGTGCACGGAACAGTTTAGGCTGGTTCTTTATCCCCTGTTACCACTCACGCGGAACTTTGATTTGAGAGTACAAAGTGCGATTCCGATCATACAGATGCTTTTTCGACCAGTTTGGCACCGAAACATTGCTTGTAGTTCATGGGTTCAACAAACTCCACCCAATAATACATTTCTAAGTGGGACTGCTGAACAGATTCTACCGGAGAATCTTCGTACTATATTCGTTACATTCGTCTGCCTTTGGGTGCAACAGCATTTGCTTTGCTTTTTAAAAGCATCCCCTTCCTTTTTTCAAGCTAATGATTGATTCAGACATTAGAGAGTTCATCCATTTTCTACGTTTATTGGATAATGGTGAGATGTTGTTTTCAATACACATGTAGCATTGGTCTCATAAGAAACCTGGGCATCAGGTTTTTCTCTTTCCTGATCTTTGCTGTGCACCAACGTAGTCACGCACGTAGTCTATACGGCTTGAGCGTAAAATGAATATTCGCAGCTGCAGGTACGACAGCAGAGGATGTGACGTGGTTTCCGACGCTGTCTCAATAAAAAAATGTTTGACTGTACTAGGCAGGAAAGTCGCGGCTTATTCCAGTACTTGGAATAGACCAATCGGATCAGGCATTCTGCTCAACTGACCGTCATGTACATTGCATATAGACCATGTGAAACGTGTGTGGGTTACACCAGTGAGGTAGGCATATCAGTAGCATACATCAGTTGAAGACAGAAGTGTTTTTAGAACCCTCAGGGTTCGGTTCTTGGTTCAATTTTGTTCCTGGTATACATGAATGACCTGCCGAAACTTCAGCAGTGCAAAACCGCACTTTTTGCTGATGACATAAAAATCTGGTCTGAAATTCATGGAAAGGCTGATTGTGATGCGCTACAGCAAGATCTGCAAAGAATCGACGAATGGTCCATCCAAAACCGGCTGCCGCTGAATTTCCAGAAATGCAAACTCATAAATCTGGGGAAGAGCTACCACTTCCCATACAAAGTGGGATCCAATGAACTGGAATGGGTGGCTGAGGAAAAAGACCTCGGCGTCTGGATTTCTAGCAACCTGAAGCCGAGTAAACACTGTCTATCAGTATATCGCAAGACCTCGGCACTGCTCGGGATGCTTAGGAGAATATTTTATCGTTTTACGCCTGAAATTCTCCCTATTATCATGAACACATATCTCCGGCCGACAATGGAATACGCGATCCAAGCCTGGTCTCCATGGCTGCAAAAGGATACACAACTGCTAGAGCGTATCTACCACCGCGCGACCAAGCTGGTCATTGGCCTCCGAAACGTTCCCTACAGTGAAAGGCTACGTAAACTTGATTTGTTTGATTTAACTTATCGGCGTATACGAGGAGACCTCATCCTGATGTTGAAGATAATAAACACCCCTAATCACCCTTTAAAACATTTGTTCACAGTTAACTTGGCCGTTGACATTCCATGTTCCCGCATTAACTGTCCGCGCTACTTTTTTTCAGTCCGCGTATCCCTCACGTGGAACAAACTACCAACATCTGTTGTGGATTGTAGTAACCTCGAGACTTTCAAACATTCGCTTGACGAATACATAAGATCTCACCCAACTTCCCTCATCAACATTTGAGATGCAGATTACAAACAATAGAACATATATGTCATATCATTCCGTTTATCTGTATACATACACACACACACCAATATCCTTTGGTCATTGTAAAGCAAAATGCTTTTTAGACCAATATAACCTCGATTTACCTTGATTTACTCTAAAAAGCCAGTATTCCTAATCCATTCTGACTTGCCCTTGATTGCGGTCGCCATCCATTTCACATACCCAGCGCGTCCAGGATGTCCACTGAATGGACAACCCAAACCAGACAGATTTTTAATGTGAATATGTGGTTTATTGTGGGCGCATTCACTCAGCTGTAAGGTTTAGGACTAAAATAATTGCATGGTTGCACTTGGTCCCCTATTTCTTGCGATTCAATTTAGATTTATCGGTATCTTTTGTTCACCGACGTTGATAGAATTATAACCTGTTCCTTAACCCAAGGCCTATGTGATTATTTCATACAATCTATCGACACCTCTTACGTTAGCTCTTAATTGAGCCCAATAGGTGGACATCTCGCAACCGTTTGCATATGGGAACAATCGTAACCAGTATCGGGTATCTCGGATACACCGCGCAGATTGTCGTCAAACTCACTCATCTCGAACATACAGAATATTTCTGTGTTGTCTTCGTCCGGCTTTCATTTTCAGCCATGTTACTCCCGCACCAGTTCCTATGACTACACGAACATCCAAGGGTCATCATGGCTTCAACCTGGCCCCCACATCAAGCGCGGCACCCGGACACCACACTGCGCTACTTGACCGCACGGCAACAATTGGCCCACCTAGTAGCACTACCGGTGTCACTCCAGGGGGTCCAACAGTCGTTTCTGCCCGTGGACCAGGTGGCGATATAATTAGCGGTTTACATTCAACGTAAGTACATCAGTGTCAGCAGTCGTGCTTACATGGATTTGTTAATCACACACTGTTTTGAGCTTGCGATCCATTGTCCTCTTTGAACGCTTTCGCCGTATTTATAAGAGTTAAGCTCATCAATCATCACCCGGCGCATTGCAGTCCATTACATTCGTTTATCGTAGCTTTGCCCAGTTGATTAATCTCCGACCTCCTTTCTTCATTCTTTTTCTACCGTCTGCAGAGCCAATGATCCATCAAGTTCCAATTTCAATCGGTTCGATTTTGCTTACGGCTCACTTAGGTAGTCCCATTTATGTTCGCTCGCACAAGCCAGCACTCCATCCTTCCTGCACACTTGTTGTTTTTCACCACCCCTGGCGTGATGCCGCTTCCCCGAGTGTGCTCACCGTTTTCTCTTAACCGCGAAGTCTAACTTGTTTTTATGCGTTGAAACCAAGGCTCACAACCTGTTATCTTTAGAATTAGGTCGAGAGTGGTACAGGTTTAGTTAATCAACAAATCCTGTAGACTGTAAGCCCACTCTCACTATGATTGTGTTGTGTCTTCACGGTTGGAACCTACAGTGACAGGATGGTATTATCGCGTTTCGAAGACTACCAACATCTTTCACATGCGAAGATCTTGAAGAGGGGGGATTTTTGACACCTGTTGTTGTAATTGCTTCGCGATTCTTTCTGGGAGAACTCCATGAAGAAAAGGGATTTTTCCTATTCTGTGTACTGGTCCATTTTCCTGTGGGCGTTCTCGTAATAGGTCGTGGCTGACGCAGAATGTCGTTTGGGACTCTGTCCACGAGGTCATCCTGGTGGAGCGCTGTGCCTTGCCCACGACTACGTGTCGCGTACCCCAAATCTCCAATACCCCTTAAAATTTTGGATGCCTTGTTCATTATCTGTCTTAAATCATGCACAGTACACTGGCGGCCAGCAGTCTGTCTGTTGCAGTTTAAATAGAAAATAGGGTTAAAGGAACATCGCCAACTGACCAATGTGTCAAGCATACGAACCATGCTTCAGTGTTTGATTTTTAATGCACAGACATCTAAACGCATCAGTGTTTTCTAGCAAGTTAGATTTCTCGATCACAGCTGGGATTCAAATAGCTTATGGCGCTACTCATATCTGGCGTGCAACCAGTAGAAAGCCAGAAGCTTCATTTACTCGTCAGTTCTCTAGATTCAGACAACAGGGATCTAGCACGAAGGTATAAAACTTGAACCCAGGAACTTTCCGCTCAAGAGCGGTATTCCTGGTTTGACTGTAACACTTTGCTGATGAGAAGCATTTAGAGAGCTCAGCTCGTGGGTTTATTTCAAAGTAGGACGTTGCGTCAGGGAAATGTTTCAAAACCCTCAGTACCAGAACGGATGAAAAATGAATTAGTCAGCATATTTTCAAAGTCTAGTCCAGTGGAGGGCTGAAGCTCATCAGAGTGTGACGTGTGAGAAGGAATGGTCATAAAATTTCACCCTGAAGAACCTCAATACTACTAAGAAGGAACAAATAATACTACGGCTCAACCACTAGATACCGAAATCTGGAACAAAATCGATCCATCCACCAACCAAATATGGAGGCACAGCATTCAGCAGAACAAAACTGATGTAGGAGTTTTTTGTATCCACAATTAGTGACACTGCAAAAAGATGGTAGGAGCATTTAGCTGTGGACTAACCTTCCTCCAGGGACGAAACAGTAAATTAAAGACTTCAAACCACAGCAACTAGCATAGTGCGGCTCATCTTGTAAACAAAATAAGGGGATAACTGAAGTGACTTGTAACGTTTTTGAGCAGAGCTGGAGACGATGCACTGAGGCGATCCTTCCCCCACTTTTGAATTGGCTTTAACGAAACCACTGATCCAAAGTTCTGCCGTAGAAAAACTGGCAAAGACGCAATAGCGTCGTTATTTAGCGTAAAATTAGGCAGTTATGAAGGAGTACCCCGAGTCCGAAAGAAATTTCTGGTCGTCAGAATTTAGACAAAGGTGTGAAGAGATCTCAAAAGTCTGTTATCATTTGGAGGAAGTTTAGATTGCATTGGAAGGAGATAGAAATTCTGAGTTTAAGCTATTCGAATTCGAACAGCTCGTGCCGAGCGAATCTTTTACGGCTCCATATCCCAGTTGATGCATACGGGTCGGTCAGTTGGCATACGAAGAACAACGATTTCTTTCTTGAATGCGTTCACACTGGTACCCTACGCCTCTCGTATTTGTAAGCAGGTTCCTTCTGCCACCGAATTCGAGGTACGTGTTGCTAAACCCTCAGTCGTAGACGAATAAGTAATTCAGAGGGGACTAACTTGGGTACTAGATCACGAAATTTGAATTTGGGTGAGGACATTTCCACCATAAAAGATTTCGGCTTAACTAGGAAACTAGGCGGTCTTATTAAATCCTTTAACAACGCATCATGTGAAACGAATAGTTGTGTGAGGGTTACGAAAGAGATTTGAGACCGATTCTACAAAGATTGCTGAGTTTAATAAAACAGTTTTCAATGGTTTTAGACATAGAAGTGTAGAAAAACTCGTCCGAATATTGGTTAAAATTCAAAAGAATGTATACTTTGGCGACTTAGGTTTTAGAGAAGTTGGATAGGAATCTGGGCTGACTGTAGACAATGAAAAAATTCAATGCATCTCAGGAATGTTGAAAATATATTTGAGTTGGCGGTGCCCATTTTGAAAGAATTTCCTTCTAAACATTTGTGAGTGGACATGCCAACGTTTTTTATCACCTTGTTTAAGGTCAAGTATGGCGCTTGTTTTTTTTCTTCTAAGGTCAGCGCAAAACGATGGTTAAATCCAGTAGTAATCTTTGCGACCACTCAAATTGAGCAACCAGTTGGATGACATTTATGTTTCGATCGATTCACTTCGGTATCCATCATGTGAGCGTATATCAGACCAAATGCGCGCGTAAGTCTGTTAGGAGTGTGCTGCTTGCGCAGGTTCATATGGGCTGCTATCAGGAAATTATCTCTCTAGGTCCCACAGTCCCCAGTAAACGGCTTCGACCACTGTCGTTGGTTTCTCAGTGGTAGTGGGTTACGCCCTTTTATTCGCCCCAGAATAGCAGTCCCCCTACGTTCAATGCACCCTGAGTGAGAATCTGTAAACAGCTCCACATACATTCAGTAGACAATCTCTGTCTTGTGCGTTGGGGGGGGGGCAACAAACTAGAGCATAGCTTTCAAACAGTCACCATGGGCAGGCTCTGTGTTTGATCAGTAGTCTCCCGTACCACCAGCTCCTCTTGGCTGTTTTTGGGACGAGTGTTCTGGTCCGGCTGTCTAGGATACTGCCTCATTGCGTATGTAAAATTGACTTCCACACTGATCTAATCCGTTAACCGATTCGACTCAAGAATAGGTTTTCTGTGGGGCAACGGTTAACGACGAATGAAACTAACTTAATTCGCGTCAGATTCCACCGGTCTTCTCACAATTTTTAGCATCTTCAAATGCCAGTGATGAGCTTGTGTTAGGTCTATTGCATTACTTTTTTCCTTGTACTACACTGCTTTCAACACCTGCATTCGTGTTAACAGTGATGGACAATCTTATACCTACTTTGATACAGAAGTCTACCTTTTGTTTGAGTCTCAGTCCATCAGTACCTAATTTTCTTCGTTCCCTTATCTGGTTAACTTTTGGAAATGGCTGACTCTCTGACGCAGTCGAAAACTACCGTTACGTCATGATAAGCTAGAATGAGGTGAAATTTGTTGAAACATGACTTGTTTGCAGTAACGCGAAATACGTTCGGCCCCCGTGGAAAGCTAAGAACGTATCAAGTGTCTGCATATAAGCGGGTGGATGTCGTGACCGTGAGAGTTCTTACGGCCAGCTATGTTCCGTTGACAAACTGCTTCCTGTGCACATCCTTGCTGACAACTAAAACGCATTGTCTGCTAGTGATTCAGCGTAGCATCGAGTTTAGAACGCAACCGCTTTGTTGATAGGGTGCGAAGACCTGGGAACGTTTCACTCCAGTGACGACTTCTCAGTTGGAAGGTCTACTCGTCGTGTGAGTCGTCTTACCTTCTGAACTGCTAGAGGAGCCAGTCCTCACATGACCTCGTGATGGGAACTCTGTGGTTGATGTATGAGTGGCTGGAGATGGCTCATTGGTTAAGGCACCAGTTTACAGACCGAAGGTCCACCCAACCTCAGCATCTCGACTGCTCTTGTCTAGGCTTGGACGATCTGGCATTATCCCAGCCCTCGTGTCTCCTTTCGTTGGCATAGCAACTAGGTCCCTAAACGGTGCCACAACTGAACGATTATTATTTGTTATTATGAGTGGCACCATAATTTAAGTGCGAATTAATCACTAGTGATTGGCCACCTATATTAGACAATAATTTAGTGTTTGGCTATTATCCGGGAGGTTGCGAGTCCGGATCTCCCCTTAGACTCGTGAAACGCACACTGCTGATGATTCCCGACATGAATAGAATGGCTGAACAGTATAGATTAAGTTTAGTTATAGAAACCTCGACAGCGACCATTTTGGTTGTTTTCAACGTTCGGATCGGTAATCAAAAGCCGAATGAAGGTGACATAAACAGTCTTAAGGGAAGATTTATTCCATCCACCGCACTGTTGTCCAATCTGAGTCAACGTATTTTATCATCCAAGAAGTAGTCATCTCACCAGGTAGTAACATCTTATGATAGTTCCACGCCTTGTAGTATCTGGGGCACATATTCTTGTAGAGCTGTTTGGTTCTCATTGCATGGGGCATAATACTGACTGATTTTTTTATTGTTAATGTTACGGGGACTCAATGCAACACACCAGGGTGCCACAATTCTTTCATTTGCATTATTATTTTTGGTGATATCCACCAACTCAATGTTTCGGACAAGTTGTAAGCTACAATGTGAGTTGACGTATTGAATGAGGATTTACAGCTCTACAAGAGCCCCAGGGGTACCAAACCCGGAATCGGCCCATGAGGACCACGTAAATTCCTACTATTTCAGAAGGAATCTTGTTTCATCTCATTTGGAAAGTACATGTTCTATCATGTTCAAAGCTGGCTCACAGTACACACAGGGCGTAGACAGTACGTCCTCACGTCGCACCTGGATTTGATAGTTTTAACAGCTTTCGTGAATAACAGCAATTTCTCACCTCCAGCCCATCGCTTACGTGTTTTCCAATACCTCAAATATTCCCAAAAATGGAGTATCCATCCTATATTTTGTTGAATTTCGCCCGGGTCTCCACTTTATAATTCTTTTGATTACGCCCGTAGTTGTCAGAACGCTGCCGAATAACTGTTGGGTAGCCAACTTTGTCTGCAATCTGCTGCACTCATCTAACGTTGTAACGTGGATTTCATCACACAAAATACGGGTAAATCCGTTTCTAGTTGTGCACCTTCACTTACCTTTTTCGTCACTCCCAGCATTCATCAATACGTGCTCCTTTCCCACCACAAGCATCATGTTGTGCTAAGGTTAACCTCGTCCTTATTTGTAAATATGATTTTCCTATAGGACAGGCCCACCGACTTATGCCAGTGCGAGCAGGCGTGGAACCAACGCGTCGGTCACTTCACGTGAGTCGGCCGTTTTATCACCTTATCCCAATGCTCCTGTGGGTGCCAATCCTACCCTTCCTGGCGCCGCTGCTTTCCCACGACTTACTCCCGAGCGGCGCACAATTCACTCCACTAACCAACCGAATGCAGAATTTGAAACAAGTCCGCCCAACTTGACTGCTTCCGTTGCCTCACGCTGTATAAACATGACCGGACCTGTTTCGGGGTCAGGATCCCCCAATACGAGTCCCTCTGGTGCCGCTGGATTCACCTTCTTCAAATCATTAACTTCGAAGATTGCGCGACGGTGAGATCAACAGTGATTTTTAAGTACCTATTGAAGCCGCTTGTCTAGTTATAAGTTCGTTTAGATGGTTTGGTTATCAATTTTCAGCCTTAGACGTGTTAGACGATTTGTGCATGAGTTTTGCTAGTTCATTTACTGTTTGATTGTCCATCACCTGCCGTGCACAAATCACATGTTTTTCTCCACTCCATTCTAACTTCAAATATTAGTGAATCAAAGTACATCAACCTTAGCGGTCTGTCCTAAAAAGTGCATGGTGTAACTCAATTTAACTCGCTTATACTTGAATTGGAATGGACCGCACTTCATTTAACTGTAGATTCATCCAGAATGAAAGTGACACCAGTTGCCTTGACAATTGTCTGTTACAGTTTCTCCTCGTTGGCGTGATTGTGGGATCCATGGAAGCGTTTGATGTCCTTCTCATGCGGTAGGCAGTTTTATGTTAACATCGCTGTTAGTCGATGTAACCCTGCTCATGATCATGCTGGTGTGCGATGTAGATCAGTTTGCAATTCGCTCAGCTTGTTTTTGGCCTCAGGAGTCTTCGACTGTACTGGAAAGGTTCATTGGCCTATTCCTCTTCGTTATGACCTGATAGCATGTGAATGTTCCGATTATTCTGTTATTTATGGATAGATACCGTGTATACGTCTCATCACTCACCACTTTGATCGTTTTCTTTTGTCTGACAGTGGTCCAATGGGCGCCGGCACCACTCCTGTCGGGACGCTATCTGGTGTTGCGGAGTTACCTGGACCTAATAGCCCCGATGAAATGGGACGGGCGCATCTTCCTACTTCTGTGACAGGCACACAATCATCAACCCAAAATTACGTCTCGAGCGAGGCCAGTTCTACAGGCTCAACCACACCTACAACCCACGGTATTCCTGGTAATGCTACGCCGGGTGGTAGCTCTGGAGGTTCACCTGTATCACAAACCGGAAACAAAAATGCCATTTATGCTGATGAGAATGGTGATGATCAGTCGAAACCGCGCAGTCTTCGGTTCACTTGGTCCATGAAGACAACAAGTCATATGCCGCCCAACAGCATGATACGAGAAATAAAGAACGTTCTTGCTCTCAACGGCTGTGAGTATGAACAGCAGGAGCGCTTTCTGTTAGTTTGCAAACACGGTGATCCAAACACGGATTCTAGTGTTCAGTGGGAAATGGAAGTTTGTAAACTACCTCGTCTATCACTAAATGGGATTCGGTTTAAACGCATTTCTGGGACAGCTGTGGCCTACAAGAATATCGCGTCACGGATAGCCAACGATCTACACATGTGAAAGCTCTTTCTTGGTCGACGTCTTCTCATCATTCGCAGTTGAACGGAACACGCACAGTCGATCACTACCCGCCTTTAAGCTAGATCTCAGCAACCGACTGACTGGAATGTTGGTGAATCTGGACACGCAGCAGCTTCATCTTTCAGTGTATAGGCACTTGCTACGGCACCTGCGACTGGTAATCTATCCCGCCTGCACACTGATTTATCACTTAGCCGTCGTGCTACCGTTTGCGTGTCACTGATGCAAAGGTTCCCCCTGTACAGACTCGCTTATGGGCCATTTTCATCTGTCGGTCGGGCGTGGCGGGATGTGCTTTGTCATCTGATATTTTCGATACATTTTAAACAACTTCGAGTGCATCACCAGCAAGGTCAGTTGTTGTCTCAATTTGGTTTAGATGTGCGCATTCCGATCACATCTGTTCAGAAAATGTACGTGCGCATATTTGCGCCCGAGAGACTCGTGTCCGTGGTGTCTTCGGGGAGGCTAGGTGAGCGCAACCACTGGCGATTTTTTACTCACTCTCGGTTCTTGAAGATTTGCTATTCTTTCGGTCACTTGTTCCTACCTCTTACCATCTATGGAAACCTAATTCTTGTATTTCTCCAGAGTAAATGACCTTCTGTCATTCACACGTGATTTGCCGCTTTTCCCAAAGGCGTATCCCTCATATCCTGTACCGGTCCCCATCTGGTCGCTTCTAGCCTCTTTACCAAAGTATGAATAACTTTGCCTTTTTCCCATTTTCTGCTTTCTGTGTTCTTGCAAACGATTCATCTACTTACGAGTCAGCTTGTCTCTGTGTTGTATTTCTCTTTTATACTTATCCTCATAATGCGGTCATCAGCTGTCCGCCTCCGCCTAATCTCCTCTATCTCCACTTTCGATTCGTTTGCCGGTGTTCTGATGTGAGAATTATTCCCACCCACGCTAACTCATCCTTCGGAGCCGCTGTTATAGCGCGCCTTATTCAATCGACAGATGTACTTATGAAATTCTGTTGTCTGAAGTATTTTTATACTTTTATCAGTTATGTCATTCGTAGTCGGACTACTCTTACCCAAGCGAGCTTACTCTTCAAATGGTCACCACTCATCCGTCTTCATGAGCGGCGTAGGCGCTTCGTATCTTTCAACATCTTTCCACTGGAGATTGATATAGCACTTACACTCCTTCCAATAGGAATTATCTTTCTCGCTCAGTCCCCAACATCTGCACAATTCTTCATTCTGGTGAACATTCTTGTCGAATTTCTCACACCGTTTCATTCTATTACGAAATCGGTGTGTCCGCAGGTCTAGCTGCTATGAACACTTCCAAATGGTCGTTCTGATGTATAAATTTCGCCCCATGCATTCTAGTTAGTTCGTTATCTCGACCAGGTTGCGCGCTGCCTAGCCCTGAAGAATCTGCCAACACACTTCTACGCATGTCTTTCCTGTTCTTAAATGATTTGTGTTATCGCCACTTCGTCCCCTTGTTTACATTTAATCCAAATTCCCGTGATCGCTCACATGATGCAGTCTACCGTGTGCATGTGGCCGACGCACACAGGCATCAACTTCATTCTCGTTGTTTCTCCATTCTCTGATAATATCCCTTACGCTGGCGCACTTGCCCTCCTCGTCATTCAAGGTGCAGTTGCTTTTGTGGTTTTTCTATTCACCTCTTCACCTCCGTTTCATGTGACTTGGCCCACGTACACGCCTTCCCCTAGTTCTGCTCCAAACATTGATTTTTTACGTGTCATTGGTGGTCATGAGGGTTGGATTTCTCTGGATTCCCATTCTCGCCCATCCCGCCACCTTCGTTTCTTCTAGCAACCACGTGTACATGTATAATCACGCCAAATTGTGGTCACCGACTTCAGTCGTGATATGCTGTATATTAAAACGGTTCACGACTCGCCACTCTGTTCATAGCTTCTTATCCCGACTCCGTCTCTCCACTCAACGGACAGGTCATTCTCCCTTTTTGTTGTATCCACCGTACTCCTTTAGCTTGGCTGTGTACACATACTTGAATTGCGTGTCTTGACCACAGTTCCGCAATTAAGTCTTCACTTATGCCACCCCGCCACTCACTTCCTCTGTGCCCTATCTCTACACTGTTTGTGGTATACAGTGCTCGCGCACTGAATGACAACCCTAACACTCACCATTAAGGATAGAATTTTTTCGTCAATCACGTTTTTCTTCATGTCTCCGGGGGGAATGTTGTTCGCTGGTCCGAAGCTTGCACGCAGCCGCAACCTTTCAAGGGTGAGCACAAACCGATAATTCCAAATAATTCACTCAGTATTTGTTGTTTCTAGGCTGTTTGTTTACAAAAGCTTAGCTAGGATTCTTGAGTAAAGTGAGGCCCCCCCCAAAAATTTTCGTCACGGCGTCAACACTATATATGTTTTGCTTTTTACGAAGAGATATACTACTGTCAGAGTGTTCTGGTGTTTAGTTAACTGTTTTAAACACCCCTACCTATGATCTGCAGCCCTTTTACTCAGAACGGCCGAAGATTCTTACCACAAGCCTATCCAAAGCTCCCTTTCATCATCATTGTCAGCTGTAATAACCGCGTACTCGTACTGTGGTTGTAGCTGCCGCAGTTTCGTTCACCGATGGTTTGAGGAGGAGGGTTAGGTAGCTGGCAGGTGGGAGCTGTTAAATTGGTGCATAAATCCAGCACTGTCAGTGGGCTGTCAAGTGGTGAGGGGGTTGGAAAAGGAGCTATCCATTGAAGGCAATAGCTTGGATGCACGAGCGACATTGAGGGCGCGACTGGGCCACATCTGACAATGTCTCTAGCCATTGATGTGGCCCCTCTCGGGCTCCCCATCCAGGAAGACGGCAATGACCAGCGCAGCTAAGTTTGCTGGTACTGGCTTTCATACTTCGCTGCCAAGTCATTGGTTGACCGCCTCTGGCTCTCTTCCACCCTTCACGTGGTTGTGCGAAAAGAGCCCTTCGAGGAAGTCGGTCGACTGGCATACGCAACACGTGGCCAA